CAATTTTCCCAAGTTGAATTTGCCTGCTGCCTTCCTGATCTCTTTAAAGCCCTTTGTATGCTTGCTGTCCTCAATGATCAGTTCAGCATTCTCTACAGATTACAATTTATCATTTACTTGGCATTACATTACTGAAAAAGCTGAAGGTGTTGCTGCAGCCCCTTTGTCTGGGCATGCAGGAGGACTAACAGTCCTTTCCCTGGCTTCCTTCAGAGTTCCTACTGGACCAGCTGATCAGGAGCCAAAGCACATTGTTAATGCCAGAGTAAATGTTTTGCTGGTGCCTGCATCCTGCAGCCCCATAAGTGATCTCAGCCCCATGGCATTTCCAGTATGTCATCTCTGGCACAGGTGGTGCTCACCTCTGTCCTTCCCAGGGTAGCTGCAGAAGCCACACTTGGCTGCTGCCCCCCCCCGCTATCGCCCCATCTCTTCCTGCTGCAGAAGGTGTACTGTCCTTTCGGAAGGATGGGGGAAATGGAAAAGACTCCACCTCTTCCCTCTGCAAATACAGCTCCTCTGAATTCACATCCTGCAGAGCGAAATAGCAAGATCCCAGCCGGGACCGTGACTTCACTTCCTGGTAATGTGTTTCTCCAGCCAGCTGGAAAAGGAGCTTCCATATCTCTGAATGAGCTGCCTGGCTTCCCCCACCCAAAGTCTTTAGCAGATGTTTCCAGCCTGATGGGCTGGGGAATGTGGAGTGAAGATTTCAGCTTCATGGGAAGGGGAGCTCCCACTTGGTTGCAGCACATCGGGAGATGAGCTGTGGGGCTGTGGGCACCTTGGTGCTCAGGGGGAATGGTCATGTGCTGGTGCAAACCCCAAGGTAGCAGAAGGAGATGGAGTGAACCCCTCCATCTTACTGAAGTCTTTCTGGGTCATGAAACGTGCAGCAGGAGCACGTGGTTTGCTCCTCAAGGAAAAGGGTGACTCCAGACATGTCTTTCCAAAGGGATTATTTTTCGTTACTTCCTCTCCTTGGTGCTAGCACTATTCGTGTCCTCTGAGATCATGAAATCTTGGGAGTAGAGAGGCAAGAGCTGCACCTTCTCAGCTGCACAGATGGGGACAGGGCTTCCGACTTTGCTTTTTCCTTTCATTGTTCTGGGAATGTTTGCTTTGAACAAAGCTGCTTTGAAGCTGCTTGTTTTTTTCCTGCTTTGCTTGGGGGGAACAGCAAGGGGGAAATTGGGGTATGACCAGAGGTCCCTGCAGATGACGGGCTGTGCAGTGTGGGGGTGCTGCTCCTGCTGTTTCCGACTTCTTTAAAATACTTAATTGTTGGATTTTCCCTGTGAAATACTAAATAAGGGAGCAGTCTCCCAGGTGACACCATGATCCTGCTGTCATGCTCCCATGCACCTGTTTTTGCCCATCAGTATCTATAGGTCCCCCATAGCAATCTATGGAGGAAGGCAGAAACTTTGGGCCTCTGCTGTCTGCTCAGAAAAGGGACTTCAGCTCCTTCAGTTCCTTCAGTGCAGCCTTAGTACAAGGGTGCCCAGGGGGCTTATTCCAGCTAGATCTGGGGTTGAAACTGGGAGCAGTGCATGTTTATACTGGGTACTGTGCAGCCTGCAAGGCTGGGTCTGGTGCACCTTACACCTGGGTTTGGATGGCATCTCCCATCATCTTCCAGGATAACTTGGGGGTTTCTTCCTGTCAGGGGAGCTGAATCCAGCACTGGGCTTGGTGTTCGGCATGCAGGCTGGTGTCTGGGATTGGGAGGCTTTGCCCTCACACAGCTTCTGTCCCAAGCTTGCTGGATGGCTTTGGCTGAATTTCTTCATCTGTGGTCGAGTTCCTTTCCTGTCAAAGTGAGCAAATCCCTTCCTACCTGCTAGGAAATAGCGCTTTAAATAGCAGGTCTATGCTGGGCAGCTGTGTCAGGAGGAGCTGGTTTGGGTGGCCATGGCAGACGTGCCTGTGGATGGATGGATGGCAGGAAGGGGATAATTTCTGCAGAGGAGAGATAGGTGGATGTCACCTCTTCATGCCACAGTTCCGTGAGAGATATAAGGTCTATCCTGATACCCAGCCAAACCCAAACAAGATGAGCCTCTCCTTCCCTGCAAGCAACCAACAAATGGTTCAATGCTCCAGAGGGACCATGTCTATCTCCACAGTGGTGCTTGAGGAAACAGCAGGTGTCCCCACAGGGATGAGATGAAACGTATGAGTGACTCATGGAGCCCAGTGTGCTGGCACAGGGAGTTGGGCAAGGGTAAGTCTGACTCCACGCAGCCAGTGCCTGGCAAGTGTCCCAGGAGGTTAAATACGGATTTGCACCAGGCTGGCTGCCAGTGGTGCTGAAAGGTACCTACCCTCGCAGACTGCCCTCTTGGGTGTCCCCATGTCACACAGTGCAGCCCCATGGAGGCAATCCAGTCCCATGGGGAAACAGAGGCATGGGGCAGCAACATGCTGCATGGGTGAGCTGCTGGTGAGCTGTTTTGCAACATGTTTATGGGGACATACAATCCCAACTCCCCCTGCCAGGTGCCTTAGAGCCAGCTCCCTCCCCACCAGTGATGCAGGGCTGGAAACTGCTGTGACCAGGAGTCCAAAAGTTTGAGAAGCAGTGCATTCCCACAGCTGGGGTGGAGCAATCAGCTATTAGGGTTGTGGCACCATATCTGAGTGCAGCCTTTGCCATGACCACATCCTGAGTAGCATGTGGACCCTGTATGTGTAAGCAATTTGCTGGAGCTCTCTGGAGGTGTTTCCTGCCTGCTGCTTGGGAGCAAGATGCTGCACAGAAGTTTGCTTCCTTCCCTCAAGGACTTGCTCAGCCCTGGTCAGTGCTGCCAAGTCCCATCCTGCCTGGGAAGGAGCAGGTGAGTGCATAGGGTATGGGATGGAGTCAGCAGGACCCCTAGGGGGAGCACGGGGATGAGTATGGAGGATGTGTCTAGGGTTAACCTTTGGGAAGTGCAAAGTAGACTTTTTCCCTGAAATTCTCTCTAGCAGGGCTTTCTGCATTTCAATATCAGTTCTCTGCTTTGGTGGCCTTGGTCCAGATTAATCCTTCGTGGAGGTGAGCATATGCCCAGCAGCATGTTGGCCAGGCCTGTGAGTACTCCAGCCCCGGTGTAGTCCCAAAGAAGGTGATGATGCATCTGGGAAGGATCCAGCTGCCACATTGCAGTGTTGTGGTTGGATTGGTCCTGCTCAGTTTTAACCCATCCTCACATTGAGCAAATTGTCTTTTTGGGATTGCTTTGACTGGCCCCCATGTGCCATACACGCAATTTTGGACAGGGTAGACAGGATGGGGCTGGCAGAAGCTGCCTTGTTGTGCTACATACATTTTCCCCTGCCAGGCTGATCTCCATCACTCTGCTCTTCTCTTTGCCTGTGCAAAGCCCCCAGGGTTTCTGCCTTTTCAGGCATGCTTGTACTCAGTGGGTATCTCCATCCATTGCGCTCTTTCAGCACTGCCCACCTAGCTAAGCTCTGGAGCTCCTGCCCATGCACACAGTGAGGATCTCTTTGCAGGAGCTCTGTAGGTCTGTAGAATTGCTGCTTGGCTGATGATTGACATCCCATCCCAATCTTAGTCGTGGCAAGTAGTCACGAGTCCTTCAGCAGCAGCTACTCAAAGTCCGTTCATATATGTGTAATGAGCAAAGGTTTACATAGAGTAAACTTAGAAATAAATCCAAAAAAAATAGCACAACCAAAGACAATGCCACATTTGGTCGGAATAAGAACCAGTTAACATCTTCATGGATAAAACTTTCTTCTCCGAAAGAGTGGTCAGGCGCTGGAATGGGCTGCCCAGGAATGGGGTTGGGTCACATCGCTGGACGTGTTCAAGAACCTTTTAAGGGCGGTTCTAAGGGACATGATTTAGTGGGGAAATAGTGGTGGATGATGGTCCTGGAGGTCTTTTCCAATCTCCATGATTCTGTGAATAATTAGGCTGTTTACAGAACATTCTAAGTGGCAGGAATGCATGCACCATTATTTGGCTTCCTTTTAATCATACATTTGGATGATGAATGGGTGCCTTCCCATTTTCAGCCCTGGTTTCTGGCAGAAGGGCTGCACATCTCCCAGTCTGCTCGGCTGCAAGGAAGGAGGCTCCTTCCCTAGAACCCCACCTCATTTCAGTGTGGCTTGAGCTGGTTCAGCCCGTTCTGAAGCCCAGTTGTCAGACTTTGATTTTTCATAGGGAACAGCACAGAAGTCTTTCAAAGCATTTAAACTCAGCTCATCAGTGATAGCTCTGCCTGGAAAGGCAGATGAGTGGCTTCATTTCTTGTCCCTTGCATACCTTTTCCTTTCTTTCCCGTTTTACTTAGCACATGAATTCCAGAGCTGTTAATCCTCTGCCAGCCCCTCATGGAGAATACAGTCCTCTCTGTGTGGGAGAAAGGAATTCATTCGAATTGAGGGAAGGAGTGGGGAGCAGGGACACGTGCTGGGACCAGGGTGGGGTGAACGTCTTCTGTTGCTCTGTAGCCCTGAAAAGGGGGGAGGGAGGGGCAGGTGGTGGGATGGCTGCAGTGGCACAATCCTGGCATTCATGGCCAGATGCTTCAGCCTCTGACTGCACCATAAAAATGCCATTTGTGTGGGCTTTGGGTCTGGCCTTGGCAGGCAACAACAGCGACTGGGGGTGAAATGGCCCTGCTCAGCACTTCTGGGGCACTGCTGCTTATAAAGGGGAGGGAAGCACTATCCCACACGGAGTGGTAGGAGTTGCAGGGTCCAACCTATCCAAGGTCCTGGGGGTGCACAGAGAAGGACAGGGGGCAGGAAGGACAGAGGGGAATGGATCTGAGTTAGAGTGGGCTCAGGAGGGAGGGTTCATGAAGGTGAATTGTGGAGGTGAATGTGGAGCAAGAGAGGGGAGACGTTGCAGAGATGGGGCAAGCAGTGGTCTGCATGCTGGGAGGTGAGTTTCTTGTGGGATGTGGGTCCTCGTGGGTGTCCTGTTCAGCTGCAGGGGCTCTGCTTCTCACCTTGACTGTCATCACTTGTCTCTGTAGAGCTCCTGGGATCTGCCAAGCGCCTGAATGTGAACTACCAGGATGCAGATGGGTGAGTACTCCCTGCCCCATGAGGCTGCTGGTTGCCTCGGCACTTCCAGAGAGGAGGGGAAAGGTTTGCTTGGGGTAGCTCTCTCTTCAATGCCCTCTTGCTTCTGGGTGGGTATTGTGAAGTTTTCAAAGTTAACCGCTGAGCCTTGAAAATGCAACAATATCTCAAGACAGTGCTACTTTATGGTGCCAGTGCAAGCCCTACAGAGGCAGACAAAACATGTGTATCTGAGCTCTTCTGCATCCCCTTCTGTAGGACTGGGGCTGAAACAAGTTCAAGGTGTCCTGAGTGTTGGGTAGCATACTGAGGAGCACTGTCCAGCCAGCCACAGAACATGCACATGCTTGTGTGCATGTTTAACATCCCAAGAGCAAAATCCCTTTATGTAGGGGGGTTAAAGAAAGAAGAGATGTGGTTGCTAAGTGACCGCAGCATATTTGTGCAGCTCATCACTTCCAAAATCCAAGCACTTAATAAGCTGGGTTCTAAGAGTTAAGGAAACCACAGAGGCCAATAAAATAAATAAGCACATTATTCTTATTGAATTAACTCTGACCCATAAATTATTAGCATTGGTTTAAGTACTGTTGTACCTAATTTCTGTTTTCTTTTCGAGGACTCTGTAGGAGGAAGTGTCAGTGCCAGTAGGCCTACAGGGGGTTGGAAATGTGCAGCGTGACCGTCTTAAAATAATAGTATATAGATGGAGCTTAATAGGAAAAAAAATCTAATAGTAAAAGTAGATCTAATTCTGATAAGGCATAGGGCTCATGTTCAGGCAGATCCAGGAGGGCTGCTGGTGCATAAAGGGTCCCTGTTGAAGCACCACATGTGGTGTTTGGTTTATAAGAAGCCCCTGCAGGAATGGCCAGGGGGATTTCCTCCCAACCATACCTTTGTTTTGGGGTAGAGGTTTCAGTGTGGCTATGTTGGAGGAGGAAGCAGCCCTTTGCTGTGGTCAGCACATCCCTCCTCATTTAAAGTTCCCTCAATGGAGTAAGGACCTCGTATTTTGGCAGTAGCCCTGCAGGTGACAGCACAGGGGGAGCATGCTGGGCAAATAGACTCCTTTCACAGCCCTGAGACACAGAGCATATTAATTGCTGGCAGCCTTTCCTGCTGTGCCATGGGCTCCTGGCATCTCTGCTGGCATGTGCAAGACAGAACAGGAACAGCACAGGGGTATTTACCTCCACTTTGCTATGGGGAAACTGAGGCACTGGCTGACACTGAGCTGCGTTTGGAGCAGTCAAAAGGGACATAGCCATGAACCACCTAGTGACCGGCCCAACCCTCAGCCTGTGTCCCTGTGCAAAGTGGGGCTGTCAGAACAGCATGGGAGGAACTGAGCCCTGCCTTTTTCTATAGGTTCTCAGCACTGCACCATGCAGCCTTGGGTGGCAGCCTGGACCTCATCTCACTGCTGCTGGAGGCACAGGCCACTGTGGACATCAAGGACAGCAACGGTAAGGGGTGACCTCATTCCCTCTCCCTACGGCAGCCAGCCTAGCCCTCTGAGCCATATCAGACGCTGAGCTGCCCTCTGCCTTGCTGAGCCCCATTTCCCCCAGGGATGCGCCCCCTGCACTACGCAGCCTGGCAGGGACGCGTGGAGCCAGTGCGGGTGCTGCTGCGTGCTGCCGCCTCTGTCAATATGGCCTCACTGGATGGGCAGATTCCACTGCACCTTTCAGCACAGTATGGCCACTACGAGGTGGTAAGTGGGAATTGGAGCCAGCGACGGCCACATACCTCAGCTGGATCTGTCCTTGTGGGTGGGTGTGATGCAGGAGCAGGGCAATGCTGAGTCCCCACATTGCTCCCCTGTAGTCGGAGATGCTTCTGCAGCACCAGTCCAACCCCTGTCTCATCAACAAGGCGAAGAAAACCCCCCTGGACTTGGCCTGCGAGTTTGGGCGACTGAAGGTGAGCACTCTGCCATGAACTCCACAGCCTGGCGGGCAGCACTCACCTCTTCTTGTGGCTAGGCAACACCAGGTCCTGAAGCTTTGAGCTGCTGCCTTTGCTCCCAGCCTCACAGCAAGGCAGCAGCAGACTGACAGAGAACCTGGGTCTCCTTGTTTCTGAGAGCTCACACCTTCCCCCCACCCACTGTGGCTTTGCTCTCATTTAAGGACAGGCTGAGCCTGCTGATCCCCACCAGCCTGCAGGGCCCAGCTCCATTCAGCTGCTCAAAGTCCCAGCTCAGTTTGTGTGGACAGAGAGCCTCCGTATGACTCAGGAGACCCCAGCTGAGCCAGTGTGGTGGGGTTGGGCTGGTGTGTGGCCAGCCAGACTGTCCCATGCCCCATTGGGGTGGGGTACATGGGGATATTTCCATTTTTGGAGTATCTGTAATATCTGCAGCTATAAACAGGGCAGTAAAAATAACTCGTCTGTGCCTTTGGGTTGCCTTGAGATGCTGAGAGTCACTCCAGGCTTGGGGAGATGTGTTTTTTCGGGCTTGATCTGAAAAGCCTGATTATGGGAAGACTATTTCTGGCTGTGGTGACTTTCTGCAGCCCCTCCCAATACAGTGGTCGCAGCCAAGCTCTGTCCAGGCACAGCCAAGACCTAAGGCTATGGGATGGATGGAAGTGATGAGATAAGGAGCACAGAGCCAGCCCTGAAGAAAGCAAGTGCAAGTGCCTTGTTGTGACTGGGTCACCTGCACCTCACTGCTCACCCTGTGCCTATGTCCATATATCCAGTTTTGGGCCCCTCACTGCAAGAAAGATATTGAGGCCCTGGAACGTGTTCAAAGAAGGGCAACAAAGCTGGTGAGGGGTCTGGAACACAGGCCATATGAGGAGAGGCTGAAGGAGCTGGGAATGTTCAGCCTGGAGAAGAGGAGGCTCAGGGGAGACCTTATTGCTCTCTATAACTTCCTGAAGGGAGGTTGTAGTGAGCTGGGGGTCGGCCTCTTCTCTCGTGTCATTAGTGATAGGACCAGGGGGAATGGTTTCAAGCTACGGCAGGGGAGATTCAGGCTGGACATGAGGAAGTATTACTTTTCAGAAAGGGTGGTCAGGCACTGGAATGGACAGCCCAGGGAGGTGGTGGAATCACCGACCCTGGGGGTGTTCAAGGAAAGACTGGATGTTGTGTTGAGGGACATGGTTTAGTAGGAGCTATTGGGAATAGGTGAACGGTTGGACTGGGTGATCTTTTAGGTCTTTTCCAACCTTGGTGATTCTATGATTCTATGATTCTATGCAGGTGGCCCAACTGCTACTGAACAGCCATCTGTGCGTTGCCCTCCTGGAGGGGCAGTCAAAAGACGCGACCGACCCCAACTACACCACCCCACTGCACCTGGCAGCCAAGAATGGGCACAAGGAGATCATCAGGTAACCCCCACACAGCCCTGGCATTGCTCAATGCCAAAAACCGTCATGACTTCGGTCTTGCATCCTCCTAAACTCATGTCCCTGTTACAGGCACTGGTGCCTCATTCCCAAAGCCTCAGCAGTGCAGAGGGTTGTCCCCTTCCCATTGCAAAGAGCTGATCCCCTGGCCCCTGTTCCTGTGTCCTCCTGTTCATGCCTTTCCCTCCTTGCTACCAGGCAGCTGCTGAAGGCTGGAATTGAGATCAATAAGCAGACAAAGACGGGCACAGCCTTGCATGAGGCCGCGCTCTATGGCAAAACAGAGGTGGTGCGGTTGCTGCTGGAGGTGAGCACAACGGGGACAGGACTGCACTTGTGGACAAACCCATGAGGCTTGATCACCTTCTCCCTCTCATGCCCTTCCTCCCCCCATCCCCTGCCAGGTGGCTGCTGCTGCAGACTCTGGCACTAATTGTATCCCTCCTTGAGCAGGGTGGTGTTGACGTGAACATCAGGAACACCTACAACCAGACAGCACTGGACATTGTCAACCAGTTTACCACTTCACATGCCAGCAAAGACATAAAGCAGCTGCTGAGAGGTGAGATGGGACTTGCCTGTGGCCAGGGCCTGCCTGGCACTGAGAGGAACATCTTCCTAATGGAACTTGCCTGTTGCTCTTACCCTCCCAGTAGTCTTAAACCAGCCTGTGTGCAAGTGTCAGTAGCTGAGTCTCATCACATGTGCTCCCATTCTCCTTGTGGGTGATCCCCAGTGATCAAGCAAGCCCTACCTGCAGTATTAATGTTCTCTCTTCACTCTTTTTTTCTCCTCCTGCCTTTCCCAATCCACTCCCTTGCCCTGCTGTGCGCTGACACCTTCCTTTGTTTTTCTGTCTCTTGTTCAGAGGCATCAGGAATCCTGAAGGTACGAGCTTTGAAGGATTTTTGGAACCTCCATGACCCAACTGCTCTCAATGTCCGGGCAGGAGACGTCATTACGGTGAGACTGCTCCCGACTCCCTGCCCCCCATCTCCACCACTACCCACAGTACCAGCCCCATGCTCCTCTCCCTACATCAGGTCCTGGAGCAGCATCCGGATGGGCGATGGAAGGGACACATCCATGACATTCAGAAAGGCACTGATCGCATTGGGTACTTCCCCCCCTCCATTGCTGAAGTCATCAGCAAGCGAACAGGTCAGTGACCACCCTGGGTCTGTTGTCTCCTACGTGAAACCACCTCACCCTTCCCAGCACCTCCCATAGACAAGTCCCTGCAGCCCTGGCTAGCTAGGTGGCAGGGAAAGAGAGGATTCTGGTGGACGCAGGAGGCTGTGTGACTGGTGTGGTAGAAATCTGGGGTTTGAGACTGAGATGTGCCCCCTTGCTGTCTCCTACACAAACTCTGACCATGCATGTTTTGTCTTTGAATGCAGGCATGATCCTCCCCCGCATGGCGTCCACACACCAGCACCAGGGCACTCCTGGGGCCCCCACGGCACTCCCTGACTGCAGCCCTCCACAGCTGCAGCATCTCCCCAGCGAGTGTCCGCAGCAGGCAGCCCCAGCATCCTATGGCCACCTCACCCTAACCTGGACGGCCCCAGGCCCTGACAGCTCAGGTCAGGGATGCAGCTGCGGAGGGAGAATGACTGCGGACCTTTCTCTGCCCCCAGCCCTGTCTGCGTGGGGGACTTTGGGATACTCTCTCCTTCCACATCCTCACAGGGAAGCAGCTAGACAAGAGGGAGCAACTGTAGAGAAAGGGAGCTTAGGGGAGTCCATAGAGCAGCCTCCCGGTGTCTTCAGTCAGACTGAGCTCTCATGTCCCTTTTGTGTGTTCCGTGCCAGCCCAGGTCACCCTGTCTGTGCTGTGTGTGCCAGGAGGGACTGTTGCATGATGTGTGGCTGGAGGGACCTTGGGGGGGGCTGGATTTTGCTGTTGTCATTGTGCTGTCACAGCTGACAGCCTTCCCTCCTATCCTTGAGCAGCAGGAGACAGGAACAGCGTGGGCAGTGAGGGCAGCATTGGCAGCATCCGCAGTGCAGGCAGTGGACAGAGCACTGAGGGTACCAACGGCCAAAACACCAACATCGTCATTGAGAACACCAGGGTAGGTACCAGCCCCTGCTGTCCCCATGCTGTTCCCCACAGTTAACCCGGGCTGAATCAGGATGACGATGTAGTCCAGCGCTTCCCTTGTAATCCCCTGCACCTCTTGGCAAAGCAGGGACTGACAAAGCTGAGCATCCTTTATCAAAATGTATTTGCTGCTATGGGAAAAAAAACAGTGGGACTAGAGCTCCCAGAAATAAGGCCCTTCTGGAGGGATGTTTTTCCTCCACTCGTTCTTCCTCTCCCTCAGCCGCTGCCCTCCACTGGTGATGACCTCCAGCAACAGATTTTGGGATCAGAGCCACGCAATGAGCAGATTACTTCCATGACAGGTGAGGGATGTCTCAAAACCATGGGGCCTTAGGGACAGCTGTGCCCTGTCCTTGGGGCTGTGTGCTGCCCAGGTCCCTGTGTGACTCTCTCCTCTCCCCTGTCCTCTCTGCCAGGGCCCCCAGGCCACCAGACCCCTAGCAGCTGCACCCCTGGAGACAAAGTCTTTTCACACCAGTTTCTGCGACCTGAGCAGCTCCTTGAGGGGAAGGTAATTAGGCCAGGCAGCATCTGGTATGCAGGGTGGGAGGACCATGTCTGGGGCTCTCTGCCCAGCTCTTGCTGCACTGGGGAGATGGAGCTGAGTTTTGGGAATGCTGGGAACGAGTGGGTCTTGCCCAAGGAGGTCCTGTTGTCATGCTCCAACCAACCCATGCAGCTATCGTCACAGGCTTCTCTTTGCCTTGTCCTCTCCCCAGGATGCAGAAGCCATTTACAACTGGCTGAGTGAGTTCCAGCTGGAGTCATACACTGTCAACTTCCTCAACGCTGGCTACGATGTCCCCACCATCAGTCGAATGACACCAGAGGTAAGGCAAGTCCTTCCCTGCAGGCTTGCACCCCTTGTCCTGCTGGCTGTAGGTGCTCGCTGCTCCATGCTTTCCATGCTGCTGCTAACTGTTGCCCCGCTCTGCTTGTGTTAGGACCTGACGGCCATCGGTGTGACCAAACCAGGCCACAGGAAGAAGATCTCCAGTGAGATTGGGCAGCTCAGTATCACCGAGTGGCTGCCCAACTATATTCCGGTGAGTCCCTGGCGTCAGGGCTTTGGTCCTCTTTTCTCAGAGCTGCCTTTCCCCAGGACAGGATGGGGGAGCTATAAGAAAATGAACACTGAAACTGCCTGCATTAATTCAGTCAGAGAGAGATCCCGAGAAAGCAGCCTCCCAGACAGGAACAGGGAGAAGGTGGGTGAAAGCACTGCCCATTCCTTGATGCTCATGGCAGCATCTCTGTGCTCTTCACAGGCTGATCTGATGGATTGGCTCAGTGCCATTGGTTTGCCGCAATACCACAAAAAATTGGTAAACAACGGCTATGACTCCATCACCATTGTCACAGACCTGACATGGGAGGATTTGCAAGAGATTGGCATCAACAAGCTGGGTGAGTCCTTGCTGCATCATAGGGGTAGCCCAGGGCAGCTGAGTCTCCTGGCCAGGTCCTCATGTCCTGACCTCGCATGGGGTGGGCAGTGCAGGCATGTCCTGTACACCTGCAAAGGGGAGTTCCTGGTCATCCCCAAGGACTACCTTGGGCAGACTGGAGTCATGCTGTGCTTGTTGGAGGTTGGCATTGGTTTATCTCCTCTCATAGGCAGGCTCTGGATAACCTGAAGGCCTTTGCCCCAGTTGGTGGTATGACCTTGGCTGTTCTCAGCCAAAAAACAAAGGCCTTCGAGGGAAGGAGCCAACCTAACATCCCTTTCCTCTTGAAACTCTCTCCCAGGCCACCAGAAGAAGATCATGTTGGCTGTAAAGAAGCTCAGAGACCTCCGCAAAAGCCTCAGCCAAACAGAAGCGACACTGACAAGACATAAAGTTCCTGGTGCCCTGGACATTGTCACTATTGAGTCACTGGAGAATGGGGAGTGCCAGTCCCCAAACACACCCAAAATGACAACGTTCCAGGACAGCGAGCTCAGCTACGAGCTCCAGACAGCCATGTCCAACAGCTGCCACGAGACGCTCAGCATCAAAAACAGCCAGGGAATGTCACGGAGCCAGGAGAGCATTGGGGTGCGGTCCCGGGGCTCGGGGCACTCACAGGACAACGTACCGTGCCGGCACCTCTCCAGTCCCTCTCAGGAGAGCCTGGGCAGCGGGGAGAGCAGCAGCAGCAGCAGCGGGCAGTCCTGCATGCCACCTCACAGCAAGGAAAACCTGGCCAGCCTGCCGAGACAGCCTAGCCCGGAGCCCTATGGGAAGCTCACCTCTCCTGAGGGGCTGAATGGCTTCGCTAATTGCAGTGGGGGCAGCCCTCTCAAGGAGAGGAACCTGCCTGAAGGCACAGATCAGTATGCCCGGCTGACAGCTCAGAAAGGTGCTGGCCATGTGGGGACACTGATGGTCACTCCCAGCACTCCTCCCCAGACTCCCAGCAAGGCAACAGCTCCATATGTCTTCATGTACCCACATGTCTCCTTGAAATCCCCAAGAACCCCTTCCAGCCAGGGAGCAGAGCAGCCTAAGACCTCTGCACACTCCTACCCCTCCTCTGGGCAGAAAAGCAGTCTGCAGACATCAGCCCCAAAAGCTTTCTCGTACCTGCACAGTCAATGTAGCCCTGCTGAGCTGCTCAAAGCTGCCACAACCCCAAATGCCTGGCAGACAGGGGAGCAGCACAAGGGGGGCGAAGGCTCCAAGAACAAGAAGCGCTCACACAGCCTGAATCGCTATGCACTGTCGGATGGAGAGCCTGAGGAGGAGGAGGGGATGCCCACCAGCACGCTGGGCTCCTATGCCACCCTGACGCGGCGGCCAGGCCGCAGCCAGATGCCACGGGCCTGCCTGCAGACAGAGGCCAAGGTGACCCGCAGCCAGTCCTTTGCCATCCGGGCCAAGCGCAAGGGCCCCCCCCCGCCGCCTCCTAAGCGTCTCAGTTCTGTCTCTAGCACTCCCACCACCGAAGTGGACAATGAACAGCCTCCTAACCCTGAACAACAGCCTTCTGTACCCCGGGATGTGGCTGACACAGGTACCAGCCCCAGTGACAGCAGCTGCAGCAGGACAGTGAGGAGCCTGGTGGCCGCACTGGAGGAAACACCAGGGCTGAATCCACCCAAACCTCTCCTAGCCCCGAAACCACTGCATGTGGCTCAGGACTCTCTCTCCAAGGCTGCTGTGGATGGTAAGTCCCACAACAGTTGTGATCCCAGTGGCACTGTGCTCTCTGATTCTGGCTGGGACTCATTTGATAGCAGCAAGCCGAGGAGACGGACACTGAGTGAGCCCAGTACTCCCATGTCAGAGGCTGTGCAGGGTAGGCAGGAGGATGCCTGCTCAGATGCAGAAGAAGAGGCCAAGCCAGAGGTCTCTTCATCCTCCCAGAACAGTTCCAGTGAGTGCATCCCCTTTGCAGAAGAAGGCAACTTAACTATCAAGCAGCGACCAAAGCCTGCTGGGCAACCTAAGGCTGACACTGCAGTGCAAGGCACAGAGCCCAGTTCCCAGCCTGCGGAGTCCCTGTGCTCTGATGGGAAGGAGACGGCTGTGTCCACTGCCACCAGGGAGCTGCCCATGCTGGAGTTCAACCTCACTGAGTCAGACACGGTGAAGCGCCGACCCCGCTTCAAGGAGCGGGAGCCGCTGCAGGCAGTGCTGAAGGCATTCAGCATGGCAGGGCAGGCTGAGGTGGGGGCCAGCTCTGCACCGCAGTATGCCCAGGCCCAGGCTGTAAGCATCGTGGGCCCCACCACACAGGGGCCAGCACCACAGGCTGGACTGGCTGGAGATGCTTTTGACGATGACAGTGTGGAGTTCAGGATTGCTGAGATAGAGAAGAGCATCTTGTCACTGGAGAAAGGGATTAAGAAGGCACCAAGCCCCATCAAAGCTCCCAGCCCCACAGAACTGCTCAGCACTACTGTGGTGAGGATGCCTGCTCCAGGTATGGGGATCTGTGGGGAGGCCCCTAGGGTTGTGGCAGGGTCTGAGCCTCTCTTCTACCATGGCTGGCTCGATGTGGCATTCCCAACCAGCCCAGTGAGGGGGACCTGTGCCACCTCATGCCATGAGGCTTTTTCTCTTGCAGACATCCCTGCCAAGCACACTTCAGTGGCGTCCACAAAGCTGGTGTTCTCTGGGCCCAAGACCATCTACCAGCAGGTCCTGCAGCCCTCCCGCCATACTGTCGCTCCCTGGGCAGCCAATGAGTCAGTGCCAGATGTGATCGGGTCCCTGGCTGGCCCCAGCCCGCTGACACTGGAGGCAAGCAGCAAGGTGTTTGTAAAGCCCTTGGCCTCTGCCCCAGGGGCTGCCCTAGTCCAGCAGCGGCTGGAGCACACCAGCATCACCACATTGCAGGCAGCTGAGAAGAAGATCACAGTGGAGGAGGTGCAGAGGTGAGGTGGCTTTGGGGGAGAAGATGCTGGGGTGAGACCCCTGGGAATTGTACTGAGGAGCCAGGCATAGGGCTGGGGGCCTCCAGCCCTACAGGCAGCAGCTGGTGCCCAGGCAGCCCCAGGACTGTGTGCAGGCTGCAGCACACAGATAACACATGCCTCTGACACACTCAGTCAAGCATGCTGAGGTCTGGCTGTGCCTGGGAGGATCCAGTCCATCCTGGCTGCCTCTGCCCCATTTGCACTTTGAGCCTTCAGGCTGTGTTCTCACCACCTCTCCGTTCCCTTCACAGCCCCCTCAGGGCCACGCACTCAGCCAAGAACATCCTGGAGGACATCAGCAATATGTTTGATGATCTGGCCGACCAGTTGGATGCAATGCTGGACTGAGGCTTGTTCCCTGTTTCCCTTTCCCGCCTCTGTCTGCTCTGTCAGCCTGATGGGGGAAGAACGGATCAGCACCAAGCGGTGCCTTTAGGTCCCTCCAGCTGCCCCCTCCCTGCACTTTGCAACACTGCTGGGGATGTGGATTGCCCTCCTCACCCCTCATGTCACTGAGAGCTGCCTGGCCTCATGTCACCACTGCTGCACAACTGCGGGCTGCTTTCTGAGGGAGTCGGGCATTTTCCTTTGGACTGACAGAAAGAGGAGAGCCCAGGAGGGCTGTGCTCCTGGAGGCCATGGAGGAGTCCTCGCTCCCTTGCACAGAGCTGAGGAACCTCCACAAGGGACCTTTCTCTTTCCTCACTGCACTGAGTCCTGCTTCTTATTATTTATCCCCTGCCAACAGTGTGTCAAAAGAAAGACCTTCCTGGGCAACTGCCATGGAGCTGGCTACCACGCAGAGCCTTGCCTGACAGCAGCTGAAAGAAGACAGGGCTTGTCCTCATTTGGCAGCTCGTACAGTGAGAAGGAACCTTCCTGCTTTATTTGTTGCTTTTCCAAATGCATTAGTATCAGGCAGCATGTAATGCGAGTGGATTGAAAGCCCCAGTGGGACCCACACCTCCCAGGATGGGGCTTGCACTGTGTATGCCCACAGTCATGGGGATGGTGGCACTGAATGCCGCACACGGACGCATTTAAGGCAGTCTAGAGCAATGTATTCTGTGGAGGCTGGCCTTTGCTACACTGTGCCTACCCAAAATGCAGCCCTTGAGCTTCCAGGGATGAAGTAGCAGAATGGTTAGTGGTAGCTTTTTCTTTTTTTCTTTAACCCTCATTTCTTTTTAGGTGTGGGCCTTCTTCCTACTCCCTCTTCCCATTTGCACTCTCCCTGCAAGGAGATGCTGGCACAGGCTGTGAATGCTGTTACACAGCAGCAGCATTTGGGACCAGGCTTCCATGCAGTGCTAAAACCCAGTGAGAGGGGTGATCTCACATGCATGGGGTGAACTCAGCTCAGTAACAGCTGCTGTGCACACACACTGGATGCAGTTACAGCCCGGTGGCTGCAGCAGGGGAACAGCAGTGGTAGCTCATTGCATCCAGCAATAGGAACGGCTGCATAGCTTGAAGACAGATTTCTCTTCCAGGATCTGTTTAGTAGTGCATGTCTAAATATGACCAAGAGCCCTGAACTTGGCTTGCACTCAGCATGCCAAGCAAATGAAAGCACCGCAGCACCAGAAGGGAACCTAAGATTGTACTGAAGTGCCATTTGTTAGAAAAATTCTGAACAAAGGGAAAAATAAATTCCATTTCCAACCTCTGTTAGAAAATGTCCCACACAAAACCAAACTGGAAAGGGAGAAGGTGGCCAAGAAGGTTTTCCCAGTCCTTTGGGGAATGTGAGACTGAAGGAGCTTGTTCACAGCCCTTTACCTTGCATGGAAGAGCAGAGCTTGCCCAGTTGGCTCACGTGGGCCTTCCCCCACATGGCCATGGCACCACGGCCTGGTAGGATGTGCTAGCCTTGCTCCTGGGCTGGGAAGCAAAGATGGAAAATTCCCCAAGAAAGGATTGGCTGGGACCTGAGGTCAGTTTGAGGTGGTTAAGGCACCTTACTCCTGGCTAGTTGGTTGCTCTGTTCTATACATCATATTGCGCGTGTTTAAATGACCACGTCTGACAGGCAAGTGCTGCATCGTGGACATGATGATTTTAAAATAGCTCCAGCCTGTGGCACTTTATCAAAAGGTTTGCACAAACCTTTTAACAACTGTTTTTATTCTCATGAGTCAACCTGGGACAAATCCAGTTTTTTTGGTTTTTTTTTTTTTGTTTGTTTTTCCTGACATTGATAAACTGTAATTTTTTTTTTAAAGGCCAATGTATATATTTTAAATGTGATTTATTATATATATTTACTAGCCAGAACCGCAAGTCTTGTACCCTCGGGTCAGGTGTAAGAGGACACTAGTGTGGAGCTGTCGCTGTCTGAGCCACCTGAGGGCAGCATCATGCCGCTCTCACTGTCAATAAGGGAATTAAACACTTGATTTTTTCAGAAGAATACCTATTTTTTAAGCTCTAGATCTCTATTTTGAAGCTACTGTATGGTGTGTAAGTTATGCACACTGTGGCTGGGACTGACCCTGCCTGCACCTGCTCCGTGCAGCAAGACAGAGGCAAAACAAATTGCCCATGTAATCATTAGACTGACAAGATTTTAAACCTTCTGCTGTTTGTGTTGATAATGTTTTGTTTTCCACTAACATCCATTAAGACTGAATTCTATTAAACAGTGGGGCCTATTTTACCCTTTTTATAGTTCTGCATAGTTGTCTTCTTCATGTCAAATCATACAATCTCACCTCCTGCTCTGTTTGAAGTCCGCTGAGGAGCAGTTTTACCCTGCCCCCTGCATGCTTAACATCTGGGTTCCTTCAGATAATTTCCCTGATACAAGATGTGCTGTCACCTCTAGCAAGGTTAATGTTCAGACTGAGCATGATGACTGTGACAGCAGCGTGTGATGAGCACACTGGCTACGAGTGCTGCCTTCCAGCCCCTCTGCCCAGCTTTGGATCCTTTGCTCAGGCCAAGCAGCCTAGGCCTCATCTCATCAGTGGTTCTCCAGAGCTCCCAGTGCTTGCTTCTCACCACCAGCCTTTCTTCCTGAGTTTCAAGCTGCACCACCTGCTGCATTCACAGCAGTCAGCAATGACCATGCAGCAAGCACCTGCCTGGAGATCAATCAGTAAGGGAAAGGTTGGCCAAGAAGGCTAAGGGAAAGATTGCTGTGTGGGAGAACCATGCAGCGTTGGGCTCATTTGCTCAAGGCTCAGCAAAAACTGGGAGAAAGTGTCAGGGTCGGATTCTGGGAGTACCAAGCTTTCAGGCTGTGTTCCTACAACAGAGGTGAGTTACATTAGCTGTGACCCCATGGCACGACCAACTGCACACATCCATAGCTCCTTGCTTTGCAAGGTGTAGACTCCCTCCAGCTTTCACTGGTTATGTTTTTTAAGACAGTAATTTATTACTGTTCATATACTGGATGCACGTGTTAGGGTTTGTTTGTTTTTTTAATACAAGCTTTAATACAAATCAAATATTTTTTACATACATCCCCCCAAAATTTAATATAAAATATACACCATTTAAAAACATCTTGATGTAGGAAACTTCTTCCTGAAGCCATTCACTCCGGTCCTCAGGTGCCTCAATGGCAGAGGAGGGGTGGCAATGTCAGAGCATCTCAAAGGCCCGTTTAATAGGCCGTGGCTCTGCCTAAGTCTAACACAGGAAGGAGGGTGCAGAACAATAACTTTTGTCATCACCCACAGAAAGAAACCTTGGAGACACCGCCTCTCGCAGAAGGTGCAGCTAGCAGGAAGTCCTAGCTGCTGCCTTTTGTTGCCACAGGTTCAGCAGCACAGAGCAAGAGCTAAGGTCTGGGTGGCAGGCTGCTCTGCAGGCATAGCAGGGAGCAGCTCAGTGCTGCCTCCACCTGCAGCCCAACTTGGCTATGGAGAAGATAGTGCCCGACTTGTCAGCCAGCCCTAGCATCAGAAAGAGAAGCTGATTTCTCAGTTGCCAGTGTTCTGGAGCTCGCTTTCAGTAAGCTAAGTGAGACTGAAAGCAGCAGCTCATTCTCTCTGAGCCAGGCAGCCCTGCAGATTCAAAAGGAGTGAAGGAAGAGCTCAGCTCAGGTCAGCTCACCTGGCAAAGGCTGACCTTAGTATTGCTGCACTGCAGGTGAGCAGCTTTGCCTTTCCCCACTGAGCTACTGGCTCCCTATTCCATACAACTCCGCCAGCAGCACAGAGCCTGAGCAGCCCCTCTGCAGCTGCAGAACAGGCTCCAGGCCCCCTGACACCTGTACTGTGCCTCCAGCAGCCTCACTCTGTCCTCAGAGCTCAAAGACTGGCTGTACTCCAGCTCCCCTGCTAGACCCACAGCAATAAGGGTATTGCTTAATGACAAGCATTCTCCCTGTTTTTGTTGAAATGTAAGGAAGACAAGGTGGAGCAGCAGGTAGGGCTGGATATCCCAGCTAGCGCCCTGCCTGCCAGGGAAGACCAGCAGCCTTGTGTTAGCATAGGACACCAAAGGGAATCAGCAGCTGTGTACTGTAGTGTTAATATTGGAAGCAAAAACACTGCCAGGATTTGTCAGGTTTAACCAGTTTTTAGAACTAGAAAGACAGTCAATGTCTCCATGAGCTGTAAATAGGTTGGCAAGCCTATGTGCTCCTGCATAGCCCCCAACTATAAGCCCACAACAGCACCACTATTCCCCTGCAGCTGGGGTCTGTTCAGAGCTCAGGAGTATATGTGCAGCACTAGGGGCACATCATGGTTTGCAGTAGCCAGCAGTGGAATGTTTCCCCCAGCTAAAGAAAGATGTCTCCAGAAAAATGGGTATAGCTGTGTGGGGAAAAGCATGGGGGGAGAGACTTCCAAGCACTACCACAGAAAGACATGACTGGGAGAAGGGAATCCCTATTCCACAGGTGCAGCACAGTTCCAGGCTGGGAAAGGAGTCACAACTGCAAGATATAGATGGAAATACACCTCCCTTGCTCCATGCAAGGGGTAGGGAGGTCTCAGGTTTTATCTCTAGATGCAAATATTGCTGTTGCTCTCTCAAGCAGCCATTTCGCTGAACAGCAATTAAAATCACAAAAATGAGGACAGTTGTAAACCTACCTGTTTGAGGGCAATTAAAGCAGACAAGAGCTGGTTCAAATAGGCTGGAGGAAGCTGGGCTGTGCAAGCAGGCAGAGCTGTCCTCCTAACTCCCTGTGCTCCACAGAAGTAGGGTTAAACTCAGACAGCTTCTCTTAAAGGCCTTTCCATTCATCTCCTGAAGCACTAACAGTTGGCACGCAGCTACAACACTAAAGAGCAGTCCTGGCCATGACAGACAGACTTTCCTAGCATGGCACCAGAGCTCCTTCCCAGTATCCCTTTGTGCCAGCTGAGGGCTGGAGGTCACATTCCCACAATACTCTCAAGAGCAGCAGGAGAGATAGCTGAGGAAGGCAGCTGAGAGCACGCGCAGGCATGCACACATGCATCATCCAGGAAAGCAGGCAGAGGAAAAAAACAAATGGGTTTCAATAGAAATCTTTTGCTTTAGCAGCCCTGTAGCTCCCCTTCTGGCCCTAGATTATCCAACCAGGTAAAAAACAAACAAACATTTGCTCACCCAGAAGGAACCCAGCAGGAAGGAGTCAGTTGATTTCAGCATCACAATATACTAACAAAAACCTCTACTAATAAATAAATAAAGGAAAAGCAGCCTGAACAGCCATCAGAGCTTGCAGGCTCCCTTGAGAGCAACGTGGCAGGCCAGAAAAGGACTGCATACCTACTGGGGGATCCTACTAGAAGAGTCCTGCCTGAGCCTCCCCTGAAGGTGCTGATGCATTTTTGCAGAGGCCGTCTGGTTTGTATGTGTGAAAGGAAACTTCCTGAGCCTGTGAGCAGCTGCTCTCCCCTTGCAGGATGTTGCTGTGTGACCCTGCCCCCAGGGAATTCAAGTTGAAAGCGTTTAAAATGGAGAATTCATCCCCAGCTTTGTTTCAAACTGCAACTTCTGCCTCTTTTGGTAACGGACCCGGACCCTAGAGGAGACAGGAGAAATAGCAGTCAGCACATGGAAGGGCAAAAGGCAGAGCTGCCCCACTACAGTTCCTGAGCTGCACAGCCCTGAGAAGCAGGGGAGCCCTCTGGCCAGGGCCCTCCAACACTAAGAGGAGAGTCAAATCTAGAGAGCAGCCAGTGGTCTCACACCTACCCCCACCAGCAAAGTCCTGTCTCCAAGGCCACCAGAGAGTGCAGAAAGGTCCAGAAACCCCTCCCATGAAGAGAAATGGAAGCTGCACTCCAATCAACATTCCCTGCAATCTCCACTGCCTTTCCCCATCAACTCTCTTGAATCAGTGTTCATTAGCATTAACTCCCAGCTCTACCTGCTCCCTGTACTAGGAAGAACTTTGCCTGCCAATTCTTGGTTTCAGCTACTTTACATGGAAATGGATCCCACAATCCAGGCACTGTGTGAAGACATTATTTCCTCTACTGTGATTCATTACTTCATTGTCCCTCTTGGGACAAGATATAGAGAACAGCTCTCTCCAAGCCACACTTGGCATCTCACAGATGTTGGCTGTCTCCCTTTCACTAGGGGGAGATAAGGAATTTTGGTCTCAGTGTCCCTGCCCTCTTCTGACCCTCCTTCCTCCTCTGTACTTCCTTTCTGAGAGTTGGAACATGAGCATGCACACAATAACCAGGTGATTCACACAGCACAATCAGATTTTCCTTTTTATTCCCCACCTGTTCTCTGTGTATTATTTCTCTGCAGCTCAAGACTAAGCTGATCCCATACCTTATTTCATGCAGCTTGACAATCTCATTGATGATAACCACCAGGATCAAGGAAAGAAAACCCAGGAGCCACGAGACTGGAGAGATGGAAATGTACTTAAAAGTCAGTGGAGAACTGAGGTTTTCCCAGAGCTTCAGGTCCAGCAGGGTCTGTGCTACTTGCCCCATTAATCTAAGATCATAAACAGACACAGCAAGTTCTCAGCAGAGCTAACACACTTTCCAGGATCTGCACATCAGGATTCAGGCCCAGATAAACTACCTCCAGATTCACAACAGGGATACTTCGCCTTGCATGAAGTTCAGCACTGCAGAACCAGTGCTGCATGCTACCATTTTCCTGTGTCAGCAATCTGGTGCTGGAGAAGGTCTAGAGCCCTTCTCCCGTCAGCACTCTGGAATCCCTTATCAGGGCCTGGGGATACTCACACAATAGCCACAGTGAGCGTCCACCACCAGTTGGAGAGGGGGCTTTTCTTCCACAAGGGCTTAGTCCGATGGACATGAGTGATGGATATGAAAACTACAGAGATAGATAAAACAATGTTATATATACAATGCTTTACAATATCCATCAACAGCTCTTACTCCAAAGGGGAACAAGTTTTATGTTCTTGAAACCTGGCTTTCATTCAAGGTCCTAACAGGCCAGTCTCCCCACAGCAAATCCAAGTCCCTAAATAAGAAAAGAGGGGCACAGTAATAATACTGCACAGCATTACACACCAAAGGGATCCCAAAGCTGTTTCTCAGCCTGGTGTGCTTATGTAATGCACACCAAAAATTGACCTGTCTCTCAAATCAGGAACATTTCTGTTGACCTGGACACGCTGCATATCTCAACATGATACGTTCTATTAAGCACTGACGCGCAACATAATGTGGTGAAAAGGGAGCAGAGGCTCTTTAAGATCACAGGAGAGCAGCTGGAGCTACTCTGACAGGCAACTATGCACCGGTGATAAGGGTCAGCCAGGGCCTGGCTCCCCTCAGCCTGCAGGACTGTCACAGTCCTGCACTGATGTTTGGGAGAAGGAATGGGGGGTTCTTTATAAGATGCTGACGGGAACAGAGGGTGAGTCATATTTATGAAGAGCAGTAGTACCCTGTTAGTTAATTTACACAAAGACAGAGGATACCTTTCTGATGCAACAGAATAAGTGCTTCCCCAGCAGGTAAAAGGCAGAATCAACTCTGAAGGTGCTGACTTATATTTATTAGGGTGATGTACAGTAATATAACAGACTTCATGTTTTTGTCAGGAGGCCATAAGAGTTTCTGCTTCTAATGGAGTTTGTGCATAGTGGGGACACAAGAAGAAACACAAGATGCATGTTTTTTCCTAGAGCTGGGGAGATGGGTGCTGAGAGTAAGGACTCACCTGTGTGTAAAACAATCAGGCCAGCTGTGAGCTTCTGGGCTACAAGAAGAACATTGGAAAATGTCCCAAACCAGTCAGGAGCACCATGAACATTGCTAGTAAATGAGAGAACACAAGAAATAAGTTAACAGTAGGAACTTACTGTCTAACCTGCTCCCTCTAGGGCCATGTCTTGCTTTGATAGTGGGGAGAACTGGGTGTGAGATTGGAGTCAGACTCTCGCTAGAAGAACTGGCCGTCCAGATACCACATGATACTGAACAAGGCCAGCTTTTGCCTTAAAGATGTTATTGTCAAGGCTAGGAAGAACACTGTGAAGACATTAAAGTCGGCTCATGTAAGAGCCTGAAGCTTGTTAGAGGGGGATCACTTCTACCTGGGAATAGCAAGAGGGTGTACAGTGCCAGACTTGGTTCCTCACCTGTGCAGCATAATGGAGGGGCAGGCTGTGAGATTGAGGCTGGTAGTATTAACCTCTTTGCAGGACTCATGCAGTGTGAAACCGAAGCAGATGAGGCAGGAACAGATGGTCACGCTGAATTTCAGCAAGAAGCAGAACAGGAAGTAGTGCTGAGTCTGTGGATAAGGGAGAGGCAGTAGAGTGACACAGGCATGTCATTGGCCCAAGGTCCCCAACATGAACTATCAGAGGCTGCAGTACAGTTTCTGGATGTTGCACTGTGAATCTGCTCTGTAGGCATATGGGCAACAGGAGATTCCCCTTGTGTCCATGCCAGAGTTTTAATAAGGATTGCTTACACCACAGATCAGTTTACTGAGTTATTTCGGAAGACCTACATTAGCACAGGTTCTCAGCTATGTGTCACTGTGTGGACAAAGAGAAGGAAGGGGGAAACATTCTTATATGACAGGCCACCTACCTTCTTAGGAATAGAAGTCAAGTTTTTTCCTGTTGCCATGGTCATGATGGAGCTGTGGGGAGGCTTGCCCAGGAGTGAAATGCTGGAGAAAGGGAGGTCAGTTTCTCATTAATGAGTTCAGGCACCAAATCTTTTGCTTTGTGGGCTAACATTTGAAACTGAAGAACATTCTCTGACTGGATCACTTCAGTGGTGAGTACTTGAACTATGCTCGTATCCCACTCTTTCAGGTGCGTACTGTTGAAGTTCTCAGGCATGGCAGGAGCAAACGGAGAGAGGCAACTTGTAACTGTGTGATAGGGAAAATTGACTAGTGGCACCTTGGCCTTTGCCTAATGCCCTATGCTCTCCATCACACCTCAGCCAGTGCAGCAGAATCAGGATTAGGAAATTATTCTCGGGTGAAAGTTCAAACCATAAGATAAAAAAAGCTCTCAGGTAGCATGCAGAGCTTACCCAGCAGTACACAAATACTCCTATCTGTATTTTCCAGCATCTTGTCATAGAAGGCATATAGAAGCCTCCTTAGCGTGCTGTGGGTGATGTGACTTCCTTTCCTCATAGACACAGTAGGTTGGGGGACTTATCTGTGTGGTAGGTGGTTGAAAGCAGGATGTTTCACCCTGCCTGACAGACTCACCTGAGCAGTGGGTAGCAGAAACAAGAGAGCCACACAATATCTGTGGTACTTAGGATGGGAGGCAGCTGTACCAGGCAGGACAGGAACTAGACAGGAACAGTCCAGAGTGAAGAGTGTGAGCAGTGCTAGGACAGCCCCGTTACCCCCAGGTGCCACCATCCTCCCACAGAACACTAGTGCAATCTGGTAACTAGTGGGCTGCTGCACAGCCCTTCCATACTTTTTAGGCTGTTAGGGCAGATGCTGTAGGGGATGCTTTTCTCCAAGGAAAAATGAGTAGGAGAGAAACTTCTGTAAGAGTATCAAGGAGAAGGGGGAGTGTGGACTATGACCTTATAATCTTTATTGTAACTTTTCCAAACATGCTGTATTAAACTGCCTGAAGGCTATCTTCCCACCTTGCAAGGCTGCCCTGCTGCAGCCACCCAGTATCCTTGCTAGCACCCCTGTCTGCTGACCTAAATGCTGTCCCCAGTCAGGCCAGGATTCACCTGAATGACGACCAACGTCAACTGGCACTGCAGCAGGAAGAGGAAACACTTGCGGATCCCATAAGTTGCATGCCGGGCCTGGAAGGAAGCACAAACCCTCAGAGCCCTCACTGTGATGGGAGCAGGCAGGGGCAGATCATGTAGCCTGCAGGAGAGGAGAAGCATGCTGCCTAGATGCAGAGGTTGTGATGGAAGGACAGAATTTAACCAAAGGGTAGGTTTGTTTAAACCTCCTAGATTTTCTGGGGTAATGCCTCACTGTAGCATGTGTTTTTCCCAGCTATGGAATCTCAACAAGTTTATACTTCATTCAGTTGAATTACTTTCTTGTCGTGGTGCCACAGGACACCATTCCCAAGTCATCCTCTATACTTTGGACCAGCAGGGTCAGACAGGAAGAATCTTTTGTGCTTTCTGCACAAATGATAGGAGACCCAAGCACAGCTAATGTTGGCAGCTCACTGGAGGCAACTCAACAAGAATGCTCACACAGGCTCTTGGCTTTGCTCCTCATGAGCTGCAGGCAGAAAGGGGCGGGCCAAAGATAGAGAAATCTAGAAAGGGAATATGTCTGGCTCACCTGCTCTATAAGTCTTATAATGCTGGTACTCTCTTCTTGGCGGAAGGACATGGAACAAGGCAGGCTATTGAGCTGTCCTGAGAGCTGCAGTGGGGTGAGCTCATCAGAGGCATGAGTCATGGTGGTGCTGGTGGCATAGCCAAAGGTCTCCCAGGAGCAGCGGGATGGGTAGAGAGGGTCCAGTGCTATACTGTGTGGACAACACAGGAGCATTAGGAAAATACCTCATCCCAAAGGAGAAACTGTTCTCCACTACAGGCCAGCCTGTAAACTCACGCTGTGCCATGCCACCCCTATCTGCCTTGCTGGTAATTAAGTCCTTATCTGAGATATGAATTCAGGATCAATCATCCCAGGCTTTCAGTTATTCCCAGAGAAATAATGAATACATTCTGATGTATGGCTCAAGGTCAACAAACTGGTTGATCCAGAGGGGCACTGCCACTATTTTGCACAAACAGGAAGCTTTTGCATTTCCAGTTGGCGAGCAGTATTTCAGCATATAAGAGTAACAGCTTCCTTTCTAAGATAGAGAAAAATCTGTATCAACAAATCCAAGCAGTCACTTGACTCAAAAATAATGGGATCCCACCCAACACCATTCAAAATGTCCCTTATAGTGACACAATTAGCTAACAATTATAGACAAAGCAATCCTCCTGACAGTCCCCAGGTCAGCTGTGACCCATGGTTGGGCATTGTATAACCCCAAGGCAAAAGAGGACTCTGGATCCTGTCCTACCTGATATCACTTTGCAGGAAGAGGCAGCTATTCCGCAGGTTGGCAGAGCTTCCCAGACAGCAAGTCACCTCCCCATACTCCTGCATGATCTTAATCATCTCACACATGGCTGCAAGGAGACCGAAAGAGAAAGTGCATTATCTTATTAAGTATGTAGGTTTCACACACCCTTTCTAGTCTGAATACTGAGCAGACAGATCTTTTAAAATGACCCCTCATGTGTAATCAGATTCAAAGTCAAAGGACACAAACAGATGGGTAATTAATTGCAGTTCATGTGCCCTTTTATCTGCCTACTGAAGGAACTGAGCTGTGATTCACAATGCTGTGACACAGAGATCTGTACCTCTAGCATGCCTCTTTCTGGCCAGAGTTCTAGGTATACCCTGGTTGTGTAAAACAAATGACATCAGCATCAGATGGTCTTGCTAGAAAACAGCAGAAACTAAATTTACTTTAATTCAAACCTGAAATACACAATCTCAAATTCTGCATCAACTCACTGCTCTTCCAAGTCTGAAGGAACAAAAAGAATATAACGAAGCACACCATGCTTAGCCTTGCTCAGAGCAAGTCCCTGTAACTCCAATCCCAGCCCTACCTCTAAGCCCTCAATCTTTTTATTAACGTCTTCTTGAGGACTCTAAATCAAAACTGCTTTTTGATCTGACTTTCCTTCTGTAGCACAGTACTCTGTGAATATGAGTTTTCTAAAAGGTCAAGGGAAACAAAACACCCATCTTCTCTGCAGATGCCTATAAAACAACTAATCTAAATGTTTGGTGCACCTGGGTCTGCAGAACAGCAAGTGGTTAGATGAAGTGGGGAAGTGCAGAGAAAGATTAAATATACTGAGCACCTAGGCAGACTGGTCTGTAGCTGATTCTCATTGGCACTCCTTTGAACTGTGCCCAGAAGTACCTGAAAATGTCAAATCATCATGATGCTTGGAATTTATACTGAAAATAGATTGCCAGGGATTAGTGGCCCGTCTTACACCATCATTTTGACATTGGCTGTGAAGCTTGGCAAATACTGGCGGGAGCTCGCAGAGAAGCTAGCCCAACTCACGAAGCAGCAAATAGAGGCTTATGAGATATCCCATCAAGGGAAAAGTGGAGCAGTGGCTCTGGAGGTAAAGTTCTGGGTAATGCAATGTGCACCCTCGCTCCTTTCCAGGGACTTTTCTTCTTCCTTGCTGTGTGTAATTTTTTCCTTTTATAGTTATTGCCTCTGTATTTAGTTTGTAATCTCTTCAGGGCAAGAAATTCTCAGGACAGGTATTTGCCAGCTGAGCAGTCAGGCCCTTTAGATAAAACAGTGTTTCTGTGAAAAAGAAATGTTGTTCTTTTTGGTCTCTGCAGTCAAAAACTGCAAAGCAGCTAGTGGTGCCATGGTAACTGCCAGAGAAAAGTACTTCTGGGAGGTGATTTCTGAGTTACATAAGGAAGCAAAGGTTCCTAGCACACTGATAACCCTTCATGAAAAGCAGTAGCATTGTGGATGTTTACTTGTCTCTTTTTTTTTTTTTTAATTACAAGTGAAGTGACTCTTAGCTCATTTCTGTAACTAAGGAAAGTTGTATTAAGACAAAGGTCTGCCTCCCCTCAGGTAGCAATAGATGGTCATTAATATTAAAATACCCTTTTGGATTTCTGTTCTGTTCTGTGTCATTCACTAATAATTCTGGTCCACACCCAGAAGAGCCAGAGAACATGCAGGGGAAAAGTAATTACACCTAGTTCTAGGACAGACCCAGGCTCTGTGCCACTTACTCTCTGGGGTGCAGTCTGTGAAGAGGGGCACCAGCAAAGGCACATTGTCAATGTTTTGCAGGTGAGGTCTGACCTGGTGGATCCCCCGTGGAAGTTTGGCCTGAAAAAGACAGAGGAGACTAAGCAGGAGTGTATGTATGAGGGAGGTAGACAACGAAGAATTGCTGAAATTATAATGATGACTCCCAGGATAAGTGCAGACAGAAGCTGCCTTTCCAAGGCCACTAGAAGAAGTCTTCCTACTGAAGTTCTACACTGCTGTACCAGGCAGTCTGTGCAGTCCTTTAGGGTTTGTACGACCACAAAAAAAAAAAAAAAAAAAAAACCAAAACAACATCTGTCTCAATAATTTGTAAGGAATTTTTATCTGTGTGTAGAATTTGGTTAGGGAATATGGGCCATCTGCCAGCACATATACCTGCTACTGCAGTTGCAGCCATATTACACAGCAAGGGAATGAATTTTGCTTCCTAAACACAGCCCACTTTTTATAAACTTTTAAAAGATTACTTTTATAAATCTGTATCTATTAGATACTTCTGTAACCTGTGCTGAGCATGTCTCAGTTTCTGGCAGGAAGAATATGTCCCACACCCTGACTGCTGGCCAGCACCAGCTACTACTGCTCATGGATGGAGGTTAGAAGTTTCTTCCGTCTGTGAACAGTGTGGGCATGTTTCCACTCCTTCCCCAGCACATGGCAAGGGAATCCAGACAGACTGAGATGAGCCTCTCAAGACCACTCTGCAGGTCATTATCTCCTCTTTTAAAATCCAAAGAAAATATATGTAAATACATTCAGTAAAAGTGATTAACCAAGAGATTATCATTAATCCCAACCCCTAGTTTCCAAGCCATATGAACCAATCAACAAATGGCTTGAAAAATGAATTCTCCAATATGCTGTTATGATTATAGTGACCCTGACAATACCACAGAGTGTATAGGGAGAGGGAGCCTCACCCTGTTACAGTCTTCCAAGAAGCTTGGGATGTCGCTGTCTGTTGGCTGAAAGCTGATGAGATCTGAATGCCCTTCCTCTTCCATTAGCAAGAGCCCCTCCACATCATCTCGAGAAACTGGAGCAGAGACAGCACAAACAATAAGCCCAAACCCACCTCTGCCATTCTTGTGCCAACTACATGATATATTCACACAGCATTGCAGAAGCAAGGAAATGTGAAGCCTTATTTTCTAGGTTAACACTTAGATCCCCCTCAATCATCTAAGATGCAGTTTTTTTAGATGACTAATGTGTGCAGAAGTAGATATATGAGCCTAGTCTCTGCTCTTTTGATACATGAAAGTTTATCTGTTCTGTTCTTTCTTTTAGAAGAAGAGGAGTGTGATGGAAGCCTGCTTAAAGTAAGAGAATACTAATTAACAGGTAAGAGACTGATTTCCAGTGGCTTAACCACCATTTTAGCAAGAACCAAAATCACTGATGAGCATTTGTAAAAGCATGGCAATTTGTGCACAGAAGGATGCTTGTTTCCAACAGCTAGAGCACTGCCTGGGTAGGAATGTATAAGTGTATATATAAATGTAAGGCTCTCTCACTCACACATGCACACACCTCAGGCCCATCTTGTTTTGTGCTCAAAGATCTAAAGGATCAGATATCTGGTGAGGAAACAGAATCCTATGAACGGGTTTAAGGGAACCATTCTGGAAATGTGGCATTCAAAGCGGATTAGGTGGAGTTCTCTCACCCTGATGTAGGTCATCATGCAGAGAGCCAGCATGGCTGGGACTGGAAGGAGGGATCTCAGATCCAGGCACATCTCCATTGGGTGTTAAAGATATGTGACAATTCCAGCCAGTTTCAAGACCCATCTTCTCAGCAAACACCTAGAGGAGAGCAGGCAAAAGAGTTTAGTGTAGCTATCCACACGAAGAGAACTGCAGACCAATGCCATATTGGAGCATAAGTACCTTCTGGACCCCGTTGGGAAGTGAATCAAGTTAACCTTGGAGCTAAACCCTCCAGTTCGACAGCTAGGACATACAAGTTCAGGGGTCAGCAAAGACAGCTTACCTTGCTTTTGAGCTCATCTTCCAAGGAGAAGTAGACAAAACGAATGCAGGCATTGACCAATCCATCAATAAGGCGGACAATGTCAAGACGGGCCTGATACTGAGATGAGACCATTCCCATGAAGATCTGTCCACTCAGAGCCTGGATACAGTCCTCCTTCTCCATCACTTCCCCAATCCCTTCTTCAAGCATGCAAACAGCGTGCAATCACATTGAGATACAAGAGACCAGATGCGCGTCAGATAACAATACACAAGGTGGGAGAGGCCATTAAGGTAATATGCAGGGACATGGTATCCAGACACAGAAACATGCAACACACACACACACACAGGAAAGTTAAGAGGCATCCATTTGTTCCAGCACACCCAACCACAGAAGCAGTTTCAGAACATCCCCACACGTGAGAATAAGAGTATGAAACAGCATGTAAAGAAAAAAGACAAAACAGAAAACAAGGATCAGTCATGAGAAATTGGCGCAGAAAGGTAGAAGATATGTGCTGCATAACGTTCGCATATGCATTTTAAATACATCATACTGTGTTTATAAGTATGGTAAGTCTGGCTGAGGCAAAGAGGCTTCAGAGTACAAGAGGCTGATGTAGAGGAACTGGGTCATGTTCCCCCAAGAGACATTGCAGATGCTTCCAAAGAGCCTGCAAAGGCTCTTTGAGAGTGTTCCTTCACCATCACCACCTGTGTAAATGGGAGCTGGATACAGCATGAGGAACAAAATAACAAAACACTTCACACAGTCACAAAGTTTGCCACAGGTGAGACTGAAAAGTGTTTTGAAAACACGCAGTCACTACTGCTTCACAGATGTTGAAAACCCTATTACTCACATTTTACAGTATGGGAGACCAAGGCAGAAACAGATTAAAATTAGTCTTACAAAAGAATTTCCTGTATCGCCTTATGTAATGGTATGTGCTTACTTCTCAGTTGCTGTTCTGGAGAATAGGTACAATTCTACATCTACTGGGAACCTTATCCTTCAGCACAGCAGCAAAATCCATCACAGGAGATTAGTCATATACACCTTCAAACATTTAGTTGCTTTGAAAAGACAAGTGACTTCCGTAAAGTCAGTCAGACAGCATACTAAGCATCAAAATACCCAGGAGTCTTGACTCACAATTGCCTGCATAAAGAAACAGACTTCCCAAGGCAAAAAAAAAAAAACTGTGCAAGCTTCGATAGCCAAACTAGAATCATACTAAGCAGCTGCTGCATCATTACTTCTTCTGGAAATGCATCTACTTCAGACATTCGTATTGCTTAATTAGTGCAACAATGTTCTTACAGCTCTAGACCAATCCAAAAGAAAGCACCTGGCTAGTAGAATAATTTCTTATAGACAGAACAGGAAACACATACACACCATCTGAGCTCCAGCTATTCCTCCGACTACTCTGTTTGAGGGGGGTTGTCCCAGGCAGATCACAGCATGTGAAGATAGCACTCTGTCCAGGGACCTGCACCAGTTCTATGCACTTGCCATTGAGCTGGGAGGACAAGGCACAATGCATTGGCTTGTATGCAAAAGCTGAACAGTACCCTGAGAGGCAGGCTCGCTGGTAGAAATCTAACACCTTCTTCCTGTATGGAAGAGACAAAAAACAGATTTAGCAGAAATGTGCTGCATTTCTGACAACATACAAGTAGTTTGATACAGAAATCACCAACTGGGTAGCTGGAAAAACATGTTCTGTGAGGAACAGAGCTGTGTTCCAACAGAGGCAGTGGTGAGCATTGCTGCATGTTGATTAAACAAATTGATGAATATGAACACAGCACTCTTTGAACACACTTAATGATATGCCTTACGTGACTGACAGATGACTTTAAAGTATGACAGTAGAAATCTAATTAATCAGTTTATTTATATAAGATAAACATGAAGCAACTCACAACTCTGACAGTAATATTTACAGCAGATAGTTACAGTAACAGACTTTTTTGATATTCCCTTTCATAGTGTGGGTCCCAGAAGCTGTATTTCAAGTCTACATTTAGACAATATTTAGTCACTAGAATAGTTTAAAGTTCCTTCCCTATGCTGAACTCATAAAGGCAACAAATTTGAATGTACATGGTATTTTTCCATTGGTTGCCATTCAATAAAACTAAACATTGCTAGTCTGTCTGTTCTGCTAGAAGGAACAGAAATTTGTCTTACGGATAAAATGCAAGAGACATTGCCAGATACTGAACAGATACAAGACTAATAGGGTGTGATGCATTATGATGGACTGGTTTGAATGTGTCAACAGTAGGATGAATTGATCACTTTCCTGTAATACATAAGCCATTTATTGAACAACAACAACAATTCTTTGCCACCATCACATGATCAGATTAGAATTCATCATTCTGCTACATGGTACAGTCACAGTCCACTTCTAAGAGGACACTATGTCAACAGATAGAGTACGAAATGGTTTAGTCATACATTGTTATTTCTTGACATCTCATCTTTTATACTGCTATAATTATAACAGTTAATTATAAGCAGAGACAACTTATGTTCATAACCTACTTCAAGCTTCTATTAAAAAGCTTTTAATACAGTGACCAGGTTCCTGCAATTTAATTGCAGTCCCTAAATACATCAAATGACAAGATGCTCACCTGTCAGAGCCAGAGAGGGGGTAAATATCAGTACCATCCCAGAAGTCTGTGCAGGCTTCAAGGATGATGTCGGCTGTCCCATGTGAAAACATCTGCTCAGTACCTGAAATACAGGTAAACAATGAGTCAGCAACACACATACAGGATCCCAGGCAAGAGATCATACTAACTGCTCCTTTGTTAAAATAGTGGTTCTTTGATCCACTGGTTCATGCTTTCCTCCATAAAGTCCTCAGTTCCCCTTTAAGAAATTATTCAAGATTGAATAATGTATTCAGCTGCTACTTGTCTAACTGCAAGTTCAAACAAGGCTGTGATAAAATGTGAGGCAGATGATCGGTTTCTATTCTATTATATTGTATTAACAATCCCACTCCTACAGAAGCTGGGAAAAAAATCTTGCTCCTGCATGCAATGGAACAGAAGAAAAGATATTCTTGTGTGCATCTTCTCATGAGAATATAAGCATTGATGAAATGCTCATGCTAGCTAATGAAATCAAGAGCCAAGAAAATACACTTGCACAAATCCGGCAGGGACCTTCAGGAACACCGGGGAATTTTCCAAAGCATAGCAGCTCTCTGCTTTCTGCTACAGAGAGTCATTGTGCACCAAGTTTATCAGAGTAACAATCCTCCAAGATGAATAGGAACTGTGCATGAAAGAAGGAGCCTGTTTCAGGGACATAAAGGAGTACTTGTATGGCATTAATTTTATTGCATAAACACTTAATCCTTCCCACCTAGGTCCTATGGTCGGATAGTCCTTGCTGGGAAAAAGAGAACAAGACTTTCATGGAATGTCTATGCCCCAGACAGAGAGCAAGAAGGCGCACATGACACATGTGCACACACCTACATTTGTATCTGACAGCAACTGCAATCTTTTCCCATATGATTTCCATTCAGTGTCAACAGCATGCCACACAACAGTTCCTCTAAGGGACAGATGACAGTGACATCATGTCCTATAAACTGGAGGGCACTCAGTCAGCTGTCCAATGTTAGCTCAGCCTCTTTCTTCTCTAAGTCACGAACATGAAGGACGGAATTTCTCTGGCACAAAGGAGAGAAAAGATGAACAGGACATGGAAGACAGCTACCCATTCATGAATGCTGGTACTCATTAGAGAGAACTAGGCCTCTAGAGCTGAGCCAATGAGAGCAAAAAGAAGCTAAGAATGCAGCTACAGCAAGGGAAATTGGGCAGTATTGTGCCACTTTACTTTGCTGAGAATTCAGGTGAGCCCCTCATTTCCATGTGGTTACTAACAAAGGGAAGGCACGTATTTCAATGGAATACTAAGGGAAATACAGATAAATTACCTTCTGTTTCTGCTACAGTTGTCAATTTATGTTCATCCCTTATGTATGTGGGAGTGGGTGGATTCAAAGATTTATTCACAAATAGTGAATCAGAAGAGGTTAGTTACAGTATTCTGGTCTGACTCAGTGAAAACACAATTATTTGATTTCATGCAATAATATGTGCATAATCCATTATTTGTTTGCACACATTTTAGAATGTTTCAAGGACCAAAACTATCACATGAGAAGTGCCCCAATAGTTAAATAACCTTGCTCGCAAAACTCCCCTTCAAACTTACTCTAGACAGCATAATCCAGGTCACACATGTATTCGTCTGAGCTCCAGCCTATGAACTAAACCGTTTAAAATTGAGGATAAGGAGTTGAAATGAGGCAACACTGAAGGTTTTCATCTACACTAAGTATCAGCAAAATTCTTGCTCACAAAGGCAAGATAGCAGCTATTGGGACAAACAAAAAAGCTCTTACATAAATTAAGATACAAGTTTAAGAAGAAACAAGTAAGAGAAGCCCCATTTACTTGATAAATCTTGGGCCAATACAGTAGCTGTATTTCAGATTCAATATTGAACAAACTCCAACTCCAGAAAGCTGAGTTCAGTCAATTAAAGGTATTATTAAGAGACTAAGACCTCTGCTGGGCAAACTGTTAAATCTTGCTAAGGTGCTTTAGAACCTCACTGCATCCATCTGCACATCCCTTCCATCCTAGCCCCTTCCTATTGGAATAGGGAGCAGTAGGAGTGGAGAAACCAGCATGGCCTCAGGGGCTGCATTCATGATCATCATGGGTTTGCCTAAGATTTCTGTGATTTCTTATTAGAATGTAATATGGAAATAGAATATATAATATACTACTACACTGTACAACTTACTAATAATAATTTATGATTTGTGTTATGAGAAGGATAAGCATCACTAGCTAATACCCTGAGAAATATTCAAACCTGTGCAGTATCAGTTTCACCAACCAAATGAAGACTATTCAAAACCCACCTTGTTCTACACTGCTATTTGGCCCCAGAAAACAGACTTGTCAAATACTAAGACAATTTTTAAAAAAATATTTCATGATCCTTGAATGATCCAGGGTTGAGAAGAATTCCCCCTTTCGGTATTCCGTAGCACTGATCATTTAGGTTTGTTGAACTTATCTGTACTGATCATAGGCAGAGCAAGGCTATCACCAGTCAGTTGGAGTCTCCAAGCTGTTCCTGAATATTTTCTAGGTTCTCTGGGAAAAAGATGCTCCTGACCTACGTGGACACACAAAGAAAGAGGCAGCCTTACTGGTTGTGGTGTCCTTCACAAACAGGTTAATCATGTGAGTCAAGGGTGGTCTTCTCTTGGTGATTGATGAAAGCTTCCCCAGCATTGTCTCCTTAACCATCTCATCGCTTGGCAAGCGGTACAAGGCCAAATAATTCTCCTGCTTGAAAAGATCTTTGGCACCTGGTGTGAAACCTGAAACATGAATATGAGGAAAAAATTAGACAGTAACCAAAGCAAAAGAATATTCCTATCTCCTGCTTCTGTGCCATCTATCTTGCCTGCTCTCATTTTGACTTTCCCCAGCAATAGGTAGGTTAATTAGTGCTCAAAGAGCATCTACGCCAAGATGTTCCAAGATTATGATGAAAAATATTCAGAAGGACTAGATTTTACTAGTAATTACAGCTTTCATGATTCTGATTCATTGAAGAAAGGAGCTGTGAAGAACAAGCACAGAATTGAGTTCGAAAGCTTTCAGATTATAATTCTAGTGCTGCATCTTACCTCCTGTGTGCTTCAGTTTTCCCATCTATAATATTAACAGAAGTACACAACATCATTTATACCCAATCTCATGGTAAAGCACTGTGGTAAAGACAGAGCATCTATCTTTCCATTAGCAGCTCTTTTTGTCCCTGAACAAAAACTGCAGATTCGAGCCAGGAGAATACCAAACCTAGACTTGGTATTAGACCTAGGGCTTGCTGGAAATATCCTTGATGACATTTTTTCCTTTGCTAATGTCTACAGTATCTGAACTTTCCAAAGCACCATCTTTAATAGATTACTTTGGCAACCTGACAATGACAGTCAGCTCTGTAATTCTACCTTCTCAGAAACCAGGTCTGAGAAAGTATTTTGCATATCCTTTCTAAGGATTAAGTGGCAGCACTGATTTCTCTGCATCCACACATTCAAGTTCTTCTTACCTATTAGCCTGGCAAGCTCACAGAGGCCCCAAGGCACGTGGACAGGCAGCACAGCATTGTGAGTTTCCTGGAGAGCTATGTTGCAGAGATGGTCGGAGAAGCAGCACAGGCGTTCTGTCACAGTGGCATTGCAAAGATTGAGCAGCACATTCAGACCCAGAGGCTTGAGGGAATTCAGGTGTATTTGCCAGTTGGAGTCATCAAACTGGATGCAAGAGGGGTTCTGTTGGTCTTGGGACAGGCTAAGCATCTCAAGGTGGTAGTCACACACAAAATCTTCAGCCTCACAAGCCAGCACCTCAGTGTCACCAGCAACCTAATGCAACAGATAGGAAAATTCTAGTTAGCTTCAATGATTACATCTTGAGCCCAGAATCCCTCAGGGAACTCTCAAATTCCCCAAACAGAAGACTCTACAGGGTTGTCTATCTTGTACATCCACAGAAGACTAATTGTGTGCCCCTTCTATATGTCTTACCTGACTATGTTCTTCTTCTCCACCCTCTGTGTCCTTGCTAAAACTCACATTGCACCCAGAGGGATGCTTGCTTCTGCTGTTTGGCTTTCGGTGGGCATGGGCATCAGGAGCCTTTGGAGGGTCACTAGACCAGTTGTTCCTCTCTTGTTCATTAGTCACATGGACTGTGTCTGCCAAAGGGCCAGAGAGCAAAGCATCTCTTTCATGGGGCTGCAAAATACCAACAAAATGAACAGTGGTGATTCAGCACTTGAACATGAACAACTTTTGATTAATATGCAAAATGTGCTGAAGTGGTGACAGAGAGAAAGGGAAGGAAAAACACTGTTTTATGACTCCTATAGAAGAGGACCTCATCCTCATAGATTCTTAATCTTATAAGCAAAGAATTACGGTCACAAGACTTCTGCACAAGCAAAGAGACCCTTCTGTAATACCAAACTGTGTATGTGAGTCATAGTATGCTTACAGCTAACATGCTACGTTATGGATTACACATCCCTCACCTCATCGTCCATCTCAGGGTGGCAGAAGGACCGTGTAGAGAGCTCATCAGTCAGATCTTCATGGCTATCATGATGTGGTTCCACCTTCCCACTGAAGAACAGAACAGTCTCTGGGCTAGGATTTGGCCAGGAGAGAATCCCCTGCTTGTCTACACAGCAGAGCACCTAGAACATCCCACAACACCCCCAAGAATGCAAAATTTCAGTGAAAACACATCTAAGCATTCACACATAGTTGCAAATATCATCAAGTTGAATAAACACGTAGGAGGCCAGATAAGTCCCTCCTTCATCAACCTTCTATCTTAAGAATCTCCAGCATCTGATATTTCCCCATTCTACCTGGACTGATTGGTTGTTTAATACCAATTTGATCTTGGGATTGCAAAATCAGGCATGAAGCCCATGATAAGGAAGCAATTAATGAACCTGTTTCAAGAGTTGGCAGAAGATTGTAGAACATACAGATATCATTCATATTAGATAGCACAGAGTATCTCTCACTATTGTTTTAGCCTGTCAATATGCTTAGACACAACAGCTTTAAGATCTTCTGCAAGATACCTGAGGGGTATCTATTCCCATCACAGTGAACTGACTACTAATAGTCTGTGCTCAGGCAAGGACTACACGATCGTTGCAAATGAAGCATCTACTGAAGGCCTCTCCTAACAGCCCTCCTAACAGCCCAACAGTACTCACAGTGACAGATCCCAGACTATGGAGCAAGCTGGAGGTGAAGCTCAGTGTTGGAGATTTGCCTTTTAAAACACATAAGAAGTGGCTCCAGATACAGCGTATCATTTCCTGCCAAGGGAAGCACAGAACATCATCTAATTCAAGACTCAGTCAGAGAAGACAAGGGGAGAGAAGGAAAAATTATGACATTACCTGCTTTCTGGTTCAGCACAGTAACACACTACAAGATAAACATCAGTCTTCGTGCGAACCTGTTAACTGAAATATGCTGTTGTTCTCAAGGGAAGGCATTCCTTTCTCATAAAGGATACCAACAGAAATTTTGATTGCTGAATTGAGAATTCACTGAAACTACCTTTGCTTATCCAAAAACATAGGAAGAAATTCTAAAGGGATTTCTTTGGACTAATTTAGCTGGTACCTCTTGGTATTTTTTTCCTCTCATCCCCTTGGAGTAAGGAATGTGAGGCCCTGCCTTACGCTTTAAGATAATCATACTGCAAACTGGGTAAAGTCACTGGGAAAGTGACAAAGTTGGAAATGAAGTTGAGGTGCGCTGACTACTGACTGCATCATTATAAATGAAGCATATCAACGCAGTAATAAACGGAAGGACGGAGAGAATTTGCAAAATTCAAATGTCATGGTGGCACTTGGCACCCTGTATCTTTCACATAAAAACATTTCAGAGAGGACCTGGATGGTAGGAATCAATTCAAACACTAGACTTTTCTCTGTGTATACCCAAAGCCAGCAAAACCAGGTTTGCCTTACAATTTTTTTTTTTTTTTTTTTTTTTTTTTTGCTTTTTAGCTGTTGCTCTGGAATGCTGTCACTGCAGAACATTTCCTTCAGAGATCCTTAGATCCAGTTCCTTAGATCCTAAGGGTAAGTACAGTCATGAGGCTGAATGCAAGAGCCAACACGAGGGGAAAAAAAAAAAAAAAAAAAAACAACAACAAAACACTCATTTAAACCAGTTTCTTGCAGGCAAAGTTTTTACATGGGTACAAAAGAAAAGAAGTAGGTCTCTTACAATGGGAAGGTGAGCTCAAGTCAATCCCGTTTCAATACCTGAAAAATAGCTCAGCTAAAATGATGAACTGGCAGAGAAGGACAACAAAATATTCAACAAAGAAAGCATGTGTCTCAATGTGCACTCCTCTATGCGGCTAGGAGCGAGGGGACATAAATTGATTCTTACGATATGCAGGACTTTTAATTGCTTTTGGAGTTCATCTGCTTCCTTATGGAAATGGGAATCTGAATGCTAGAATAGTGAAGTGTCTTTCCTCCACCTACCTGTTTAATCTGGGTGATGCAATTTACAGAGTAACCAGATGCAGTTCCTCCCCCAGAAAACATCTCTTTCAAATGTTTATTTGCCCCAGATTTTGAAGGATTAGTAATGTGCTTAAGCTCATTAGCAAGCCTCTGAAACAAGATCAGACTTCTTGCATGAACATCCTACGCTCCCCTTTTCACATTTGGTCTTGACGCTGACCCCTGTTCTCACTGTTCTTTAGTTTTGGCTTGGAGAACTAAGTGTTCCTGGTATAAGTAAAATACTTCTTTCTGACACACACCATAAAAAGTTATTCTACTCCTAGAATAGATCTTTAAAGAGGCACTTTCTCCAGTACAGAAAAAGTTGATTTCAAATCATCTGCAATATTCAGAAAAGCACAGCTGTACTCAGTATGAAAGGTGCCTCAATTTGTGGTCAGTAGAGCAGTGTCTACATGGGCAGGTGTAGGGGAAAGACATGCAACCTGCATGCACAGCAAATTAAAGCAGCAAAAGTGTGAGAACAGACAACAGGCACAAGCAAAAACGGCTCTGGGAACAAGCAGGGGATCAGAAAGGAAGGGAAAGGATATCGTGAAGATGAAAGATGTAAGAAAACAATTCATAATAAGAGTACCTGAGAAGATACCATCTCTGTGTAGCTGCTGAGAGTGTCCTCTGAAAACTTAGCAAGCTGCAGCAAGAGAAGAGACCAGTTACTATAATTATGCTCAGAAATGTGTCCTGAAGAAGATGCATCCCTAAGTACTATGCCTTTAGAGAGAAGAAAGCAAAAGTCCTGCCCTACGAGGACTCCTATACCAAGACAGATCAATAATTCTCCAAAGCAATTATGTTTTTAATGGCCTACGGCAGCGGCATTATCTACTTGTGAAGCACAAAGTGCTTGGCGCTGGTATATCACAGAAGACACAGTTGTTATCCAAAAGTCTACAGAGAAAATAACAGCAATTAGACCCAGCAGAACATCTTCCTGGACAGTCACTGTAAGACAAAGTCAGTATTGACTGACCTTTTCTTAACTACACAGATCGGTTAAAAGAAAGGAACTAGATGAGAGTGACTGCAAAAGCAGGTACTTGCTGACGGAATGAGATGATGTGAATAGGTTTTGGATAGGAAACAAAAAGAAATTATTTTTTGTAGAGTGCTACCATGAGGCTCTTGGAATTCCACTGCAAATTTTACTAACTGAAAAATTGTGCATCCAGCTTAAAGGAATTAAACAGAAGATGTAATTTTGAAAAAAAAAAGTTTAAATTGAAGTAGATTGATAAGCATAAATGAACATGGCAATTAAATTTGTATATATTAAAAAAACAATAATCCAAATAATAATGCATGTATCTGTCACTTAAGAAGAAATCAGCTTTAAACATCTGTAAAAAGCCAACACAGATCAGTTAGAAATAATTTAAATTGAAAATTATGAAGGATAACTAGGAACAGTTAGCAATATTTTATTTAAATTTAACAAGCAACAATCCCACAGTAAAAATAATAATGTCTGGTTTTGAGAAGGAGTGAAAACAGAAATAAAAAAAAAACCTAAGAACAAGTTCACTAATCCATCGTTTGATGAAAACAGTGGAATTGCAGATGACATTGCAAGCAAGCCAGACATGTTAAATACCATTACTCATTATTCAGTGATATGTTCATATCGTATGATGACTATGAAGTATTTTCCATTTTAACACCAGCAACTGAAACTAAATTTGTTTTTAAAATAGACAAATTTGTGACTGCTACTGCTGACTTTTTACCTTTTCTAGGTTTGAAGCATGGATTTAAGACCTAATGCAGTGGATGAAAGCTAATGTGGTGACAATGCCTAATGAGGATAAGGAGAACACATCAAGTTACCACAAGAGCCCAGACTGACTGTGATTTCAAACAGCATAATGGAGCAACTGATATAAAACACATATTAAAAGAATGGAAGTAGAATAATACAATCCACATATTAAAAGAATGGAAGTAGAATAATACAATCAGCACCAAACAACACAAGTATATGATATTTTTGGATAGAATAACAAACTGGACTGATAAAAGTAATGCTGTTGATGTAGTACACTTGGAACTTTGACTTGATGAAAAAGGCTTTATTAGTTTTCAAACAAAAGGTAGAGTAATTCCAGAGTAAGAAGGCCCATATCTAAATAGATTAGAAATTCATTTTTCTGATAACCAAACAATCGTTCGCAGTAGGATGTGTTACTATCTCAAGCAGGGACAAATTCTAGGTGTTCTGTTAACACCCTGAAATAAAACACAAGGTCATTACTGACAGAGATTGTACACTATACAAAGACTGGGGAAGGCTCAGATATTAAAGAGATCAAATTGTTTCTACAAAACAGTATGGACTGCTCAGAAAATGAGCAAAAATATGCACAGCAACACTTCAAAAATAAATCTGCATTCCTAGCAGAAAATATGAAATTTGGGCTAAAAAAAAAAAAAAAAAAAAAAAAGAGACTGCAGCTTAGAAAGCAGTAACTCTGCAAATTATTTGTTGAAAAACAGCTGGCCATTTAAGGCAACGGCTAAAAAAATCTACTGTGATCTTTTGTTGTACTAACAAGGGAACATAAAGCTCAAATTATTCTCAAGTTTAGCTCAAGCACAAACTGTTACTGGAATATTTATGGGTTGTGGAGATTCATAATTCTACAGTGATCCTGAAGCACTGGAAAAAGCTAAGAGGAAAGCCAAAACAAATATTAGAGAATTGTCAGATATGCTTGCAGTGACTCAAGGTGTTTAAGAAGTTTAGGTGTTTAAAAAGAGATGGTGTTAATCAAAGAGATGGTAAAAGAGATTGTGAGCAGTTACCACAGAACAGAAACTTTATTGATTTGTTCTTAAATCTATGAGACAAAGGAGGTTAAGTTTCAAGTGCTGGAAATCAGATTCTACAAAAACGCTAACATATGAATGTCAATTTTTAACACTAAATCATTACTGAAACAACCTGTCAAAAGCAGCAGGAATATTTTCAAACCAACATCAAATCCCCTACTAAAAGGAATGCTGCTATAACGCAACCATAGTAATGAAACTTGAGGCAGGGGCTCCTTTGGGGCAGCCAGTGGTATCTGCCACGCAGTTACGACTGACTGGTCATAAGAGTTGCCTATGACCTTAAAAAAAAAAAAAAAAAAAAAGGAAATCAAAGAGCTTGAATGTAATGGGAGGGTGCAGAAGATGGAGAGAAGCGTCACACACGCCAAATGACTGAAGAAGGTCTTACACTTTAAACAGAATATAGAGAATGAAAGAGTGAAATAGAGATGCCAAAAGTACACTTCCCTAGTGACGAGTGAGAATGACTAAGGCACACTACAATGGTTTTTCTGCAGCAACAAAGATGGAGGATTGAGTTTGAGATGTCACAGAAAGAGCTGGTTGGACAGAATGAGAATGCCTGTACAAGAAGATACAAAAGAACTCAACACAGGTGCAAATGTGAGTAACAAGGCAAATGGATATGTTGAGAATGAGGAAGTATGGAAGCTAAGGAGTTCTGATGCGTAGGGCAAGAGATGGTTCTAAGGATAGTAACAAAGTGATGCTGAGAATGGATGGAAAATGTAGAAAGGAGGAAACACTGAAAAGGGATGGTAAAGGTGCAATTGTGCCATTGGAGGGGGAAGCATGAGTTTATCCTCCCAGTTTAGTCGTGTACAACCTATAGGGCAGAGAACAGAAAACAGAACCAGCACCACGGAGGCCAAGGAAGAACATGAAGGAGAGAGTAACTTCGTTCAAGCACAGGCTTAGCAGAAATCAGCAGAGACAACAAACAGCACAGTGCACCTCACCAATGTTGCCACTGGGAGAAAATAAGAGACACCCATCAGCATATCCAGTTCAAAATCACATATCCATCAGACTACCAAATTTCCATTTGCCAAACCAGAACAGTCACCAGAAATTTGCCTTACTTTCTGACCCACTGGCAAGGCTAAGTCTGCAAGCCAAGCCCCAGAGCCTCAAGAAAGGGCTGCTCAGCCCACAGGTTATAACAAAGGATCTTATGTATCACATTCCTTCTCCATGGCTTAATTTCTCTAGTTATGGACACTGTGTGGCATTTATCTCCATGTTGACTCCTCTGACAGTATACATTTAGCTGATAGAAAGCGCATGCCTTGAAGAGATTTAGGGTATCACTGAATCTTCCTATCACCCTTGGGATATAGAATGCATTTGTAGGCCAGCTGAAAAACTGAAACATCTGTGCAAGAAAAAGTCACATGGTGCTGCAGGAAAATGATCTAGCCAGGACACTCAAAGATCCAACAGGTTTTTTTTGATTATGTGCCAAATGCACTGTCCTTGCTTCACAGAGCCCTTCTCATCTACTGCTCCTTTCTCTTCAATGGTTTGATGTGGACAGATACCTACCAGCGAGGTGGATGAGGCCTTACTCATCTGGGCCAAGACTCTGGCTTCTCCAAAGGCTGTAGCAAGAATCCACAGGACAGGAAAAAGCAATGGAAGGATGGGCAGGACTCCATTCACCTGAAAAAATAAAACCTCCAATCACAAGTAAGCACAGAGACAACAAGAAGTTAAACCTGTTATACAACCTCTTTTCCACCAGAGTGGACTGGTAAAAGGCAACAGCAGGAAGTACACAGACAGCTTGCACTGAAAGCAACACAGTATAGGGAGAGGCACAGAAGGGGAGACACACATACCCTTAAGAGTTTGTAATGAAGAAGGCTATGAATAAATTGCATCAACTTGTAGCTGTTTTTTCTTTTTGCTGAATTTGGCATAAGCTCTTAAAGTTTAAAAGAAAAACATACAACATACATATGTGTATTTACAGATATAGATACACGGTGAGAAAGAAAGAGAAAACAAAGAACAACACAGAAGGAACAGACAGGGTAGTGTTATTGTTCTTCACCATTGAGAGCTCTTGGGTCTGATGTGCACAGGGCAGTGCGTACACAGGATGTTGTCATGGAATGAAGCAAGTTGCTGATGGAGGGAATTGCCACAGCGGTGCTTTGGGGTAGAAAGAGGTAGTGGAGCTCAGCACATTCTTTACCTGTAGCTGAAGAAGAGTATGCTGCCAAGAAGCAATTCCAGGAGCTTTGAAAATGAAGCGCACAGCATTGGTGATTAGGAAGCCAGCCTGCAATTCAGAGTTGACACCATCAGCAAATTACTGGTACTTGTAAGGAAGTTTTTGCTTCCTCATAACATTCTCAGCCCTGAGAAAAAAATCTGGAGGATACACTTGGTCTGCTGTTCTTCACTCTCATAGATGGGCAGCTCAGTAGTTCTGCTCCTCTGCACTCCTGAAGATACACGTCAGCTGCATGAGTTAGAGCTGGGCCACAATTTCCTGTTGACGGCTGCAAATTCTTCACCTTTATTGACAAAACACAGCTATATTCAATACCAAAGGCTTGAAATGAGACCTACCAGTACAATAGGGACAGCATATTTCAACATCACAGACTGTACAGTGAATCTCTCATTATCCAGGGCTGTCACAGGACGTGACAACGCCATTTCCAGACACCACCTGAAAAAACAGAAAACAGCTTGCAATTTTAGGAAACAAGATCCTAGCCCTGCACTTTTCTCAGATAGAAACTGTGTTCAGCCTTTGCTAACAAGGAGAGCCTTTGAAAGAGAAACCAAGACTCGACAGGTTTAAGATGGAGAATCTTTTTTTTTTTTCCCCCCAAAATGTGGCTTGCTTTCAAGTAGGAATGGATGCAGTGATTTTATAATTATCTCAAGATCCTGGCCTCTGAGTTACAGAAGATGCCACTGGCCAGAGATTTATCAATTAATCTACATCCTCAGTCTCAATCTCTGAGATTTAAAATAATCTCAACGGGGTCAAAAATCTCTGCTATCAAATGCATGAAATCTATGACCTCCCTGCATTGTTGAAATTGACTTTGAAAGTAATGAGCAGTAATGCATATGTTAGCATGCATGTTTTTAAATATCAGTCTATCAGCTAACAAGGACAAGTGAAGACAAACAGTAACAATCTTACAGCAAGGCATTCCTAGGTAATACAGATGACACAGCAAAGCATATTAGGAAATTCCTGGGCTGGACTGGTAAAATTTCTCTTTTTTCCTGATACAAGGCATCAGCAAGGATCAAGATAAGCTGTGAAACCGTTGAGCACAGTATTTAACTCACCTGACATTATCAATTATTGGAGTCTTCAAGACACGGAACAGACGATACAGCTGAGGGTTCTGAGGTCCCTTTTTCACTTCTCCTCTTGGGGAGGGTGGAGGTGAGAAAGGTGGAAATAGATCTCCTGGCTCCAGAACTATGTGCTCATCATCCTAGAAAAGAAGTCAGTGAGCCAAAGGCTGCTCATCTGGGGCCTCAGTGGAATCCTGTTTCCGTGGACTGGAGGTTGAGTCCAGCAGCATTTCTCCCACCACAAGTGATAATACACACTTGTCACAGTTCTCTGTCAGCTCTCAAAAATTCATTAGTTAAACTGCTGCTTCAAACTTGAAGCAAAATTAAATGCTCGTGGGCCTTCAGAAGTAACAAAACACACCTGGTTATTCATGAATTTTAGCATTTCATAAAATCATGGAGTGGCCTGGGACCTCAAAAACCATCTAGTTTGAACCCTCCTGCTATGCGCAGGGTTGCCAACCATCGGACCAGGCTGCCCAAAGCCACATCTAGCACGGCTTTGAATGCCTCCAGGGATGAGGCATCCACAACCTCCTTGGGCAACCTGTTCCAATGCATCACCACCCTCTGAGTGAAAACTTCCTCCTAATATCTAACCCAAGTCTTTGCTGTCTTAGTTTAAAAGCATTTGGAGTAAAAGTCAAAATTAACAACAAAGGTAAGTAAACGTCAAGCTTTAAACTGTTGCTAAGCTTCTTTAAGCAGCAAACTCTGCATAGATTTTGCAATTGATTTGCTAATGTACTTCTATTCCAGGTAGTTTATGTTACTTTCTTTCATACTAAATCAGTAGCAAGAAGGTCAAAACAGACAAACTCACTGCTCCACATAAAAAACAGGACAAAGTAGAGGGATTGTATATCATATCATCCTACTGGAGAGATTTATTATACTTAAATCAGCAGCATATTACACTTAACCCTTGACCTGGAAAATGGATGAATGGAGATATGGTGCTTCAGTATCACATTAGTGTCTCCAGTCTGTTGGGTTTGGGTGTTTTTAAGGAAGATAGAGCTGTCTAACAAAGCACTTTCTTTGAACTGGAGTTTCAAAGTATTTCAAAGGTCAGAAGAATCAAATATTCCCATAATTCATACTTTGAGATTTCGAGTATTAATAAGAAAAGGCCAGGGAACTAAGACAAGCAAGTTACCTTAATTCCTCTCAGAGAAGCAAACGATTCCTGTCCTGGCCTCAAAGCAATGACATCTCCTTCTACTAACAGGCTTACAGGCAGGTTCACAAGTTGACCATCCCTGTATGCCCAATGAAGGGACCAGGATGGGGCATAAGGCATGTGGAGATCAGGGTACATGGAGTCTGGCCATTTCACCTCTTTGCTAAGTGTATCTGAAAGCACACGATGTGAAGGAATTACGTGATAAAATTTGGAAGAGGCCAATCATACATCAATTTACATTTCATAGTGGCTATAGGCCCTCCAGTGCGAAGATTGGTCCATGCCCATGAACTTTAACCTTGTTAGCTTTCCCTTCCCCCCCTCCACCCTCTATAATCAATTAAACACTGTCACATGGTAACATTAAATACATACTCATACAGTGAAAAAGCTAGGGAATGTCTTAAAGGTGTCACACTGAAATGAACTGCCACCTTGAGTTCAAAAGTCCCCACTGAGAAGACGCTTATGTACAGCAATTTATTTCCTTCTGTTCTATGTTGTAGCACAATCTCACATTTTCTTCTTTCATCATCTGCAGCAAGGCAGATACTTTTGTAAGAAATTTGGGATTTGAATTACTCCAAAGCACAGACACAACACACACCTATCTGGTAACATACCAGATGGAAGTGCATGGCCACAACACAGCTCAAAATAATGATTCCACAGGACAGGCATGACACAGGACACAGCTATCACTCCTGTTTCTGTGTAACATAGGGCAAGGCTAGTAAGCTCAATTAATAATACATGATCAAGTTTTGGAGAAAAATCCAATGTGGTGGAAATACAAATCCAAATGACAGACAGATGATTGAGGCCTCACCATTTATCTTATCAATGATCATCTGAAGTCTTCTCTCCACCTCTTTACACTTCAGCCTCTCCTGACGTCCAATCATGAAGAGATCCAAGAGGAGAAGGAGGAAGAGTGCCAATGCATTAACTATTTCAGCACCTTGGCTTCGCACAGCAAAAACAGAAGAAAGCAGAAGGCAGTTGAGTTTTGAGTAAGTGAGCAGAATATGCTGCCAGCCACCCACAGAGATAAATGCACATCTGTTCAATTGTTTATTCCTACATCCCAAAGACTCATGTTTAAAAAAGAAAAGCAGAGAAGCCACAACCACACCGCTTCAAGAACCAGGGAAGTTTGAAAAGACCTGTCTCAATTAAAAAACACCCTTACAAATACAGTCAAGCATGTTACGGTTCTTGTAACCATAAAGTAGTTTCTTTTATGAGTCACTAACTTCTCTAGTTTCAAAATTCTCCTGAACAATTCTAACATCTCAGGATTTTTTAAGTTCTAGGAAAACTGTAGAAAGAAAATCTCATTCTCTCCACAAGATGCTCTATGGGTAGATTAGAAGTAGAATTAAGTTAGTTGAAGTTTTGTGGAAGGGAGAGGGACAGGATTACCAGAACATGTTCACGATTACACAGAATGAGGGACAATGATGATACGTCAGCCATACACAGAATCAAGAGGATGCAAAATTATCGTTTGCTTCAGTCAACCAGTAAATGATTTTTTGCTTACTTTCCCTGTGGCTGGCTCCCAGAGCAACAGAGCAGCAACACCACTGCCAGAAGCATCAGAGATGCACCAGGCCAGTGGAAACAGGAGCAACGGTTACCATGGTACAAAAAACTGCTTCTCCATGCCTCCTACAAAAGGAAAGCAGCAGAAAGCATTTATAAAATACAAAGCTAGATATTAAAAAAAGTAGAGGAAAGATAAAGGCAGCATTAACAGACACTCCAAGGTGAACACAACTTTGTAAATCCCTTTAGAATTAAACAGAGCATCCTAGATCAGCTATGCAAATGCTACAGCACTAAAGATTGTTCAGCTGGGGAGTCTGGGTGTGCATTGCTATCTTTAGTCCTGCTCCGAAGAATGAAGAGACTTCTGTGCCAGGCTACTCCACTGTCACTATCTAGAAAGAAATATCTTTAAGTAGCATGAATAAACACTAGGACTTTGTATTCAATGCATGTACCAGATAAACACGGAGGACAAGGGAAGACCGTTGAGTTCCACTTCTCTTTCTCTCCACTTAATATGGCTCTCCCGCACACACTGCCATTAGTGGCTCTAGAAGATGTTAGATCCTTAGTAGTTGAAGCTAAGCTCCTGAAGAACACCAGCAGCCACAAGAGAAGTGCTGAGAAATGTACCCCTAGGTAATTCCTCGCTTTGTTCCCAAAGACTTTGGCAGCTCTAAACCTGGAAACTTTGACTGCTGCTGCTGCAAAGAGGAAATGCAGCCAACTTTCAGTTAATCCTCCACTTTGCTTTGAAAAGGGGAAAATGAGCAAAACCTAATGCTGCTTGGTGTCTTACCTTCCATGAAGTCACTTTTTTCCGTTCCTTCTGATGTCCCTCCAGCAGTGTTGTCAACTGGTCTCTCAAGATCATAAGAGCTTTCTTTGTGGTAAGGCCCAAACCTGAGGTCATCTCATCCTGAAGTGCCAGAAAAACAAACTGTTTAGTACTTTCCTATTTTCCTTTTCAGCTTGTTTCTGGTGGCTAACTGAGCACCCTACTGTGAATGCCTCACACTCATCACAACCAGTTTGATTATTCATTTCTCTGAAATCATCTCTCTTCTAGTGACTGCTGGCTGAAATTATAGTACCTATATAGTCATACACCAAGCCATTTCTGCAAAACAATGTTCTTCTTAGCAGTGACTGGGGACAATACTAAGAAAGACTGCTCAGTTCTGAGGTTACAGACACCTGAACTAGTATCAGCTTATAGAGACAACAGAACGCAGATGGTTACACTGAAATTTTATTGATATGGGATAGATTTTGCTAACATAACTAACAACTAAGCAGTAGAATACCTGCAGTGCTAAAAAAGAGGGGTCCAGTTTCTACAACTGCTAATTACAAATTTTAGTTCTGTACTCTGCTTCAGTGGCTACAAAATCTCCCAGATTTAAGTGCTAGGCCACTCAAAGGTTCAGGAAGAGATTATTCCAGCATCAACAAATCCTTTTACAAGAGAAAGCACTGGAGTCTTTAGTGCTGAATTGTGAGAACATACAGGTGAGGCATTCTGGCTTGAAGGGAGCATATGCAGTCCAAACTACTACTCCTTCATTATTCAGTAAAGAGGCAAGAGCCTGAAAGGACGCAACCCAAGGGAGAGCTATTTGGGCAGCACTGCCATAAGTTTCTGATTATCACGAAAGTAGGGCAAATGCTTGAGTTTCCAGGATAAGAACACAAGCATTTACCTTCCTTTCAAATCCGAGACTGCTGAGAGGTACTGGGACTACCAGATCACTGAAAGTTAATCAAGGAAAAGCAGGCAGATGGCTGCTGCGAATACCATGGTACCGCACAATAGAATTTCTCGTTTGCATTTCATGCTTTAATAGAAATACCCTTAACGTGACAGTGAACAGAATATCCTCCACATTAGCAGTGCTCAGGTGTATCATGCTGTTTACAGAGTACAGACCTACTAAACACAAAGCAGGCAGGAAGCTTCCCTCAGCTCCCACTAGCGTGACACATATTCTAGCAAATACAGTTCAGGTGGGATCTGCGGCTTTTCCCGCTACTGCAGTCACAAGCTCTTCCCAGCTCTCTGCTGTTCAGCTATATGCACAGACATCCAGTTCTGCAAATGCATCTCAACTCTGGTTTGCACTTTTCTTCGTGTTCCATGAATAAGTGTTTTTGTTGATGAACTTCTACTAGAAATTAACCTTGCACTTTGAATCCATTTGCTCTGATGACTCAATCAAAAACTGTAACAGCAGTGTCAAGAAATGGCTGATAGCTGCTCTTTAAAATAATATCCAGCCATTCACCTCTCCCTTCCCCCCCCCAACTTATCAGGTACAATTTGAAACAGCAAATTCTGGCCACGCAGTCTAGTAGTGCTGCTTTAGCTGCAATTTTTTAGAAATAAAAATAAACCTGCTTAGTTTTCATTCTCCGTGTCACTTTTAGGAATTGAGGAAGCAGTTCTGTATTGTTCTTGGAAGCAGCTCAGGTATCAGCAGCACAGGACTAAACATAGAATTCGCCTAAAGACTCCCGAGGGAGAAGATGGCAGGCAGCAAACTGGCAACAGGCACACCATGGCACCATGGGGGTGCTGCAAGCAGGAGTGCCTGAGAGCAACACAGAGTAAGCATCAACCACGTTCTCTCTCTCCTGACTGCTAGCTGACTGGGGCACAGCAAAGCACTCAGAAAAACATTTACCCTTTCTTTCCAACAGTGAGAAAGAAGTCAGATAAATAAGGTGGAAACTGAAATGCAGCAATAGGGGGACTTTAACCAAAAAGCAAGAGCTGCTTAAACACCACTGAGTTGATCCCAACCAGTACAGAAGAAATGTGAGGAAACCTGTGCTTAATGACAACATTTAATACAGGGATGTACTCCTAGAAAGCGTCACATCATAGTAGGGAGCAATTAAGAGAAGGGAGCAAATTCAGAGGGAACCAAGAAGTTTCCTGAAACATTTGCACACCTGCTCCAGTCTTAACACAGGTGTTATGGTTTTGCCGTAGGATCGGTCAAGGAAAGAAGATGCAGTAGGTAAGAAAGAACAAAGTCTGGAAGGGATGATGAGGAGGAAGAATAAAGATTTTTAAACACCCATCTTGACACTTAAAACATGGAGTTTATGATAAAGTAAGCAAATAGAGCCAGGTAAACAAACACTGTAATATTGTTAGTGAGCTGCCTGTGCTAACTCAGAAAACCGTAGGTTTGGCTCTCCAGGGAAGAAACCAGAAGCAGCTCAGAACTAGAAGTGGAGCAGTATCAATAGACTTAGTGTTGCTTTCTCCCTCCGTAGTTTGACATAGGGATATCAGTTGCCAAATACCAAATCCAGGAGTTTGTTTCAACAGCCTTGCCTGCCTCAGAGCAAAAAGGTTTCCTTTCTCTTCCTCATGCTTTCAGGTTGCGTATAGGAAAATGCTGTTTATTATCTGCATTTTCTCTTACAATGACAAGTTATTCCTGAGCATCGCCACCTAGTCATGTCTGCTTCCTGCATTAGTATCCTGAATTCCTCTTATTTTCATGCAGCCATCACACATCCACAGTAGCATATTTATTAACTGTATCAGTATTTATATAATATGTGATGTTGAATATGTGCCAAACATTTGTTAAAAAATACTGGAGCACAAATATACGTTCTGCATTATAAAACTCACTCTTTCCACTACCTCTATAGGCATGTACACTTATTCAACCTTACACAGCGGTAGATACATTTTGTCCTCTGTGGATTTGGTTCTTGCAGAATAAAGCTTCTCAACAAGATTACAGTGCATTTCAACATAATTGCCTTTAAAAAGGCTGTTAAAAAAAAATAAGTGAATAGGAATCAGAAGATTTGCTAGAGGGTTCAGTTTTCATAGATTGCAATTCCACCTCTCTGATTCAGAGTGGTATGGAAAGCTCCTACTAGGAAGCTGTCAGATTCTTTCCCTCTCTCCAGGATGCATACACTAAGTCCCCTTTTTCAACACTTTGACTCAACTGCTTCTCAGATTTCAACAGTTGGAGGCAGGAAACTGTGCAAGAGAATCTTCTTCCTTTTTCTGAGAGCTATTTTGCATTGCTCTAGCAGAAACAAGAACACATTTTTTAATTTAACAGTTATATTTTTCACGCTATTAATCTAATTCATTGATTACACCTCATGAAATACAAGTGTTATTCACAGCTTCAAAAACACATGAAAAGAAACAACTTCACCAGATACATTTGCATAACATAAAGTCAGATTCTTGCTTATAACAAGGCACAATACAATGCAGTGTATAATCAATGGATATTAAGATGTTACAATCACAAAATAAACAAAAGAGACGAAGTAGATTAAGATAACAAGAGAGAATAAATGGAAGGCTTACCCTTATGCTGAGCTCACCCACAAAACACCAGAAGAGGCAATCTCCGGAAGAGATCCTTCCCCACTAGTAGCCAGCTCTTCAATAGGTCTAGGAGGGGTGCAGCCAGGCTCCACCTCTTCCGGCAGCACAGGTGAATTGCCTTCACCTGTGCTTCTGTGGCTGATTCGTGGCTCGCCTCAGGTGAACAATCAGAGGTTCAGGCCATGACTCAGCAGTTCCCGTACACCCACGGTGCACTTTTTTTTGTCCAATCAAAGGGGATGGCAGACCATATACACAAAAGCACACCATTTCTTCAGGCAACATTTCTTACAGCAAGATAGTGCTAGAGAGTGATTTATTTTTGTTCTAAAGTAAGTCATACTTCAGTGTGCTACAGCTCTGTCTAAGTGCGGCTGCTGAGTTAGTGCTCAGGCTATCTATAATAATATCTATAATAATGGTTATTATATATATATGCAGATATAGATATCTGTAGCATGACAGATGTACCAGCAAAGCTAGGAGATAGCCACTCTAGGCAAAGGTTTCCCCGTTGTTACCTACATCCTTGGTCTCAGTTACGTGTTTTGTCTTTGTTGGTGTTCACCCAGTTACTTTTAAAAAGAGATCTATCCTGATTCCACAAGCGCGCTTGCCAAGTGACCCAAAACATATAAAGCTTCTACCCTTACCTATTTCCACTCCAGACGTAATAATGAAGGACAATCTCTTCACTGAGAATCTGGGCTGTCAGCAACAGCTGGATTCTGCTTCTGCCATAGATTTCTGCATGACGAGGAAAATCTAAAGCTCTTCTGTGCTTTAGTTTCTTGTCTCTACAATGGGACTATTAACTCCCTACCAGCCGTATGTACGTGAAACTATAATATTCACCAACTCTATTGAACACTACTGGAAAGCACAGAAAAGAAGAAATGCATGTTGATATTTGCATAATTCAGGCAGCTCCACTAAGCACATCGTAGCTCTATGGGAACTACTGTCTTTAGGACTGGACATACAGGGAAAGGTACCAGAAGGCACAAATGAACACAGCTATTAAAACTTGTCACCTGATAAGAACCTGGCAGCCACAGCTTAACTGTTGGTGGTCTCAAATAAAATGAAAAAAGCTAAGTCTTCTGCAAAGCAGTGCCCAGATTAATGGACAGAGAACAGTCAACAACTGTCTCCTTCCTCTATCTGCAGCATCAGTATGAAAGGCAGCCCAGAACCCCCCACCCCAGGACAAATGAGGCCCCACAGCATGGTAACTGAGTGCCTGGGGGGCTTCCCTGGGGAAGCTGCTTTAAAAGCTCTCTGCTGCTCATCACCTGTAGACTTACACTGCAAAGAAACAGAGCAGCAGAAGCAACAATCTCTGATATGTGGCCAGTGCAGCACTAATTGGCTACATTTTGCTTGGAACAGAGTCCATTTCATAGCACACAATGACATTCAAATTTTATGCCCTCTGTGAAGCACAGAGTAAGATGCCAACAGGCACAATCAACCTTTCTACATGGGTAATGCAAAGCTCAGTGCTTTCTTTCTCCCTCAGATAGTAGCAGCTTAGCAGTACAACTGTTTTGAATTGCACCTTTGCTTGTCCGTTCCTTTGGTCCTGTTTGCAGCAGCACATTCCCAGCCACAGTTCCTTGCTCCACCAGGCTGCTGTCAGGATGAGGCAGAGTTTATGCAGTGCCTTGAAGCTCAGAGATCAGTTACGGCTCCGTATTTATTTATTCTGTTTTTGATGCACACTATGGTGCTTTACGCCAATGCAGAGCTTATTCCAGAGGATGTTAATCTCCTCTCTCAGACAAGTTCAGAAATTCAAATGTTCAGAAATTCACAGAACTTCAGCAATTATTTCGTCTTCCCATTAGTTTCTTTCCCACCACCACTTTTTATCTGAAGACTCTGAGGACTAAAAGTACTATATAGCCTGGCAGATGCACCACAAAACATGTTTAAAAGGAATACTGATGTTCAACAGCCACAGATCAAAGCACACAGAAGAAACAGACAAATTTAAGTCAAAAGGTAGAGGAGTAGCAAAGCAGGTGCTAAATTCATCTCTGCCCCCTCCCATTGGTCCTACAATTAAACCTGTGATTTAAAACAAGGCTTCTCTTACCAACCCCTCCAACAACAAAGCCATTCCCTTGCTAAAAATCTTCACTGCTTCATGTCCTGCTATAACGTCTTTCCTCAAAACCTCCAAGCATTTCATGCAGAGCTTATTCACATCAGCTTTTCACATCAGGCAAGATGCAGGCTAGGGAAGGAGAGAGGGAAAGCCATTTTGAATTTAAACATTGAGAGAAACTTACTTTGCAGCATTTGCCTTGGTGGGTGATCCAGAAATCAGCCTGCTTAAAGAGCATCTGGCCTACACTCCTGAGCCACTTATACAGCAACTTGCACTGCTGCTGCTCTCCAAAAATGAGAGCAGAGAAGGAGAGAGAGAAAGACTGTGCGCAGCCCAGCACTGCAGAGAATGAGACAGAAGCAGCAGAGTGAAGCACCAGTCTGCTGATTAATTCAGCCTGTTTCAGTCACGCTGCAGATCAAGCAAGGAGGCGGTGGATGGGGGTGGGGGATGGAGGAGAGAAAGGGAAAAAGACAGAGACAGAAGGAAGTTTGCCCATAGCCCCAGACATCTGAAAGAATGGTCCTTCATCAGAGTTGATTCAGCTAGAATCCCTCAGATCCCTAGAATTCCCTGTCTGTAGAGATGCATATGCACGCATAGTAAGGGCTGATGCCGACAGACAGGGCTCTCTAGAAAAACAGATGGCAAATCAGATGGGAGAAAGTGCTGTAAAATATACTATAGAAGAAGGAACACCTAAGCAGCCAAGGGACAAAAAACAGGTAAGAGACAGAGAGCCCCAGGAATGCTGATTTCCCTATGTAACTCTAGGAGAATCATCCAGGGGACTCCATAGCTTTGAATTCAAGCTCAACTTAAAAATAAATAGGATGGCTACAGGTCCAGTCTGAGGTGTTCCTGCCCTCTTTTCCTGTTGATAGTGTGTCTTAGTTTCAGCCAGGATGGAATTGTATTCTCCAGAGTCCCAACTGAAACTAAGACATAGAGAAAACAGCAAATGCCCCAATAGCATTCACACATCCTGCACCACCCTATCTAAACCAAAAGGTGCACAGAGATTCTTCATAGCCATAATCATGTCTGGGGCTCACCGCTTACTGCCAGCTGTTCAGTGCCACAGAGAGGTGAAGAAATAGTGCAGACAGGGAAGGGCTGAGTGCAATGACAGGTAATGAAAAGGCCTTTGGAGGCAAGGAAGGAATGAACTTTCTCTCATTCTCATATTTTGCAGGAATTGCTTCCTTTTTGTTGTTGGAAGTAAACATCTTTCTAAGTGGGTTTTTATATAGCTCCTGCTTCAGTACTGTCCTGATTCTCTCCAAGCTACCCAGTTTTGCAAGGCAATCATTACATCAATGATTTCCTTCCACATAGAAAAGGGTGAAGAACTGGAACCATGTCAATAGCTTGCCAAGGATTATAGCCAATCTGTATAAAATGGAACAGGCATTTACTGCAAAGACTTCCAGTCTCAGCATATTGTGCAGCTCTGAACACCACATGCAGGTGTCAGGACTTGCCTACCAGTCCTAGCCAAAATCTTTACTTCCTCTCCTCACTTGAGAATCAGATGCCTAAATAGACACACTTTATATTCTTTGCTTAAAGCCAGAAATACAGTGATTGTAGGTCTCCATATTGATAATAGATGCAACGTTGATCTAAGACAATTCCTGAAAGAATGAGTTATCATCTTCATGTTGGCACTGAGTTATACTTTGGTATGTCATCTCACAAAGCTCTCAAATCTTGAAAGGAAGCAGCCACCATATTTAATGTCAATTCACTACAGAGCAGGAGGAGAAAAAAGGAAAAAGATATTCTTCATAGTTCTGTGGAGTACTTTGTTTCCTAGACAACAATTTTTAATTGCAGAAAAGAACAAAATGTCCTAATGGTACATTTTTTTCTTACATACTCTTTTCACTATATTCACCTACTCAGTTTGTCACAAACTAAAAAAAGTAAGGGAGAAAAAAAGGAACACTAACTACAATACTGGGCAAATCCTCACATACCATACATGTATCAGCCCCTTTCCAACTTAGTGCTTCTTGTGGCTCTGCATCTTCTGGAGACTTAAATGAATGTGAATAAAGCAACTTGTCAGTAACAGAGCAAGGCCTCTGACATGGTCCCATACCACATCCTTATCTCTAAATTGGAGAGGTATGGACTTAAAGGCAGAACTATTTGGTGGAAAAGGAATTGGCTGGGTGGTCAAAGACAGAGGATTGTGGTAAATGACTTCATGTCCAGGCAAAGGGTGCTGATGAGTGGTGACCCTGAGGGGTCTGTCTTGGGTCTGGTACTCTCTAACATGTTTATCAATGACACAGGTGATGGGATCAAGTACACTCCTGGCAAGTCTGTGGACAACACCAAGTTGAGTTTTGCAGTTGATATAACAGGAGGAAGGGATGCCATCCAAACTCAAAAGGTGGGGCTGTGTAAACTTAATGAGGTTCAACAAAGCCAAGTGAAGGTGTTGCACTCAAGTCAGGACAACCCCAGATACACATACAGATAGGGAGAAGAACTTGAGAGTAGCTGTATCCTGGTCTGCATCAGAAGAGCAGTGGCCAGGACAAGGGAGGTGATCGTCCCCCTTACTCTCTGCCCCTGTGAGGCACCATCTGGAGTACTGGGTCCAGATCTGGGACCCCCAACACAGGAAAGATGTGGAGCTTTTAGAAAGGGTCCAGTGGAGAGCCATGAGTATGATCAGAGCGCTGGAGCACCTCTCCTGTGAAGACAGGCTGAGCAAGCTGGGCTTGTTCAGTCTGGAGAAGAGAAGGGTGCAGAAAGACATCTTTATGGCCTTCCAATATCTAAAGGGAGATTATAAACAGGAGTGATATCAACTTTTCACATGTGTAGCGATAGGGCAAGTGGAAATGGTTTTCAAATAAAGGAGGGGAGATTTAGAGGAGAAAGTTTTTCACTGAGAAGGTGGTGAGGTGCTGGAACAGGTTGCCCAGAGATATTGTGGGTGCCCCATCCCTGGAGGTGCTCAAGGCCGGGCTGGATGGGGCCTAGGCAACCTGATCTACTGCTTGATCCAGCAGCTGGCAACCCCGCCTCTGGCAGGGGGTTTGGAACTGGATGATCCTTGAGGTCCTTCCCAACCCAAGCCATTCTATGATTTCCCGATTCTATGATATACTTCATCTATGTTGTTCCACCATGGTGCTTCAGTCTCAGCCTAAAGAGGACTTGTTCTAGGCATTAGAGTTGTTTCTGTAAGCTATTCAGTCTCTCACCTTCACTGAGACTCTCTGTAAAGGGTACTGATTGAAAAGTGAGTATTCGCACCCTAGCAACTCAACATATTTAAGTAGTTCTGTGGGGAAACAATTTCTGGCCTCTGCCAGGCCAAGCCATGTGTAAATCCATCAAACAGAACTGAATTTCCCAAATGCATTACCTGGGTTAACTGACATTTCCTAAAACAAAACTGAAAAGCCATTAAAATCCACAGCTGACTTGTGAGTGCATGAAAAAATCACAACACTGTATCTTGAAAGCCCTACTCACAGATCTGTTCACCACTTGAAGATACCTAGATCTCACCACACTGAATGTTGATCAATGGGATATAACAATGGAGGTGATTCTTACGGAACAGCACTCTGCCATTGCTGGACAACCTCGCAGCAGACCTTTCCTACTGAGGCAAGTGAGTACATCTCGATGAGTGTCAAGGTGACAGAAGTCTCAATTTTTGTATTAACCATGGATTATATTGTCACACAACAACACCAAGTGGTCAGTCTTGGCTGAAAATAATGAAAGACTCAACGTTTAGGTTAGGCATGATTCTTATCAGGACACCTACCTGACACTTCTCTTTGAGGTCCATGGCTACGCAATTCTGTAAGCATGTCCAGTAAGAGAGGATTGCTTTTCAGGGAAGAATGTCTCCTAGGTAGAGATGAGCTTGGTTATATTTACCACATCACCATCTGTGGAAATAGAAGGGGAAGCAGTTAATTTCCCAATATCACTGCCTTTAGGACAAGAAAGTAATGGAAGTCACATAATTCAAATGATTTTTTAAAAGGAGAACTGGGGATTGGAAAAGTGCTTTTGACAGTACAGCATCTCCCTCTTTACTCAGAATTGATCCCATTTAACTGGAAACAGGAGATGAATTAAGTTCTCTGTGCCTCAGGGTGAGAGCATTGCTGAAACCCTGACAGACTGTCAGGCAAGTCCCCAGAAAAAGCTGACCAGACTCTGGATTCTGCCAGGTGTTGGAGCAAGCTGCTACCCATAGCTATTTGTCTTGCTTTTCTTATCAACTGGGAGCTTTATCCAGCTAAGCTCTAATGAAGCCTGCAGTAATGATTCTTCTATTTGCAGAAAAGCATTCCCAATCTTTGATAGAGTTATGCTGCTAGTAACTAGACCATTTTTATTGTAGCACACGGGAACTCCAGCAGAATTAAAGCAGAATTGACTCTAGCTGAAGGAAGCAGCTCTGGAGCTCCCAACTTTTTCTAGACAATATGCTCCTTGATCTCCCATAGCACGCCTCTCCATGGGGAGAATTTATAGCAGCATTCCAGTACCTGAAGGGGGCCTACAGAAAATCTCAGGAGGGACTTTTTGTAATGGCACGTACAACACGAAAATTGGAAATAGTTTTGAACTGGAAGAGTATAGATTTAGACCACATATTAGAAAGAAACTTTACTGTGATGGTGGTGAGACACTGGAACAGAATGTCTCACCAGAGATTGCCCAGAGATGTTGTGGATGCTCCCTGCCTGGAAGCGTTCAAAAAATCTTCCAGGCTGGATGGGGCTTTGAGCAACCTCATCTAGCACGAGGTGCCCCTGCTCCCATAGCAAAAGGGATTGGAACTAGATGATCTTAAGGGTCCCTTCAACCCATCCATCCTATGATTCTATGATATGATTCTACAATACTTTCTGAATACCGTGGTGCTACATAATTTCAAGGAAAATAAAAGGCATCCAAAGCTTACTCAGAAGGCCACTACTGCCATGCTGAAGTTAGATATAAATATCCTCTCTTGCAGGCAAGTACTGCCCCTGCATTCTGAGAAGCAGCAAGTATTTAGTATTCTGCTTATCAAAGAACTGCTTACAGTACAGAAACTAATGTCTGCAAGTGCAGTTTTCTATCTGCCATCTGCCACAAGTCTGGACTCTGCTCTACTCTGTTCTGTGACTCTTGTCAATATGCACACATCAAGGGAACAGAGCTATTTTCAGGCACACTGTATCCCAGTCAGGCCAATCAGCAACTGCAAAGAGAGGATCAGATAAAGTTACAGGAGCAAAGCTGACAAAGAGTGCTGGGAGTTGGAAGGAGGAAAACGCAACTCTGCATGTTTGTACGCAGCAGCTTAGAGCATCAGTATCCCATTTTTAACTTGAGCATCATTTCTATATAAGGCAAGGCAAGATGAGATGATTTTAAGATGGAGAAGATGGCCACTAACAATGAGAGGGCTAAGAAATAAATCCAGGATTCTTTTTTTTTACCCCATCCCCAACAGAAGATTCATTAGATCTACCAAGGGGTTTGTGTGCCTTGTCCTTACACATTCAAACAAAAAATTACATGCCTGTCTTTCTCTCTGGATCTGCACTTCAGAATCATAATTATCAGTGACATGACCAGGCAACTGGGAAGCCACAGGCACAACAGCAGAGCAAGTAAAACCATCTTCAGCTGTTTGTTCTTGGTGCTGTATCGCTAGCAGCAGTAGGGGCCATGCAGGGAGACAGTTGGGCAGGAGGCAGGATTTGCTGCACTACAGCAAATGACATTCTGATTTAAGCACTAAACTGAAACGTGATCTTGAATGCAAAGCACGCCATTCCTTAAAGTTCAAGGCATATCATTTGCATGCTTACGAATACCACCCTGAAGTCCTTCAGTGCTAGGAAGCAGCATACAAAGCACAAGTGCTAAAAAGGACAGACTAGTTAGAAAGATAATTCTTATCTAGATAAAATCAAAACCTGTTAAAATGAGCGATATACTAAGAGCTTGTAAAAGCAATCCGAGCAATGCATGCTTCATCATCACATGTGCTCAGGGCTTCTCCAAAATTAGCTTCAGGTCAAGTGATGCTAAAGGAGAAGACAAACCATAGTGAGAAATATCCTTCCTAAATTTCTACACTAGAATTGGTATTGAAGCCATGTAAACTGTGACTTGCAAGCTTTCTTTCAAAAACGTACTTGACCAGAATAAATATTCTCCAAGGTTGTTTGCAAATGCCATAGCAACTAAAACCTCATACGCATCACAGAGGTCTTGCAAACACCCAGAAAATGGCTTCACACAATAAGGAGCTGAAGCAGTTTATGCATTCTGCAGGCAATGTACAGTGTACAGCTGTGCAGAGATGTGCATTCATTCACTCTAACTCTCCCCTACAGACACTTGGAAAAAAAAGCACATTCGAGGAGTCTTTAGGGAGAAAAGCAAATCGACTTAATTTTCCCCACAGCATTCAATCACTGATTCTCTAGAACAGACTATAAAATATGGTGGGGAAACTGAATACATCTTCATATTCAGTGAAACTATCAAAAATGAATTCCTCAATAACAGAATTCCAATCCATCATCAAGAACAGAAACAAGAGGGAACCTATAATAATCAAAAAAGCAGCTGCCTTAGGAAAACATGGCTTAGATAGAGCCCATTGTTTTGCTATCAGCAGAAACATACGGACTTCCTACTCATGAGGAGCTGATGTCTGTCTGCTAATTTGCAACACTGGCACATTTGCTGGCATATGGGTTCTCAGAGATGCATAAAGTGATAGTGTCAACTGATGTGAGACCCACTGAGAACACAGAAGGGAGCTGGCAGCAACACTTCTTAGCTTCAGTATTGGCTTGCAAAAAAAAAAAAAACTTGTAAAAATTTGGACCAGCTAAACAATCTTTGCCTCAATAACCTCATATTACTGATACGGATATACATATCTGCATCAGAGAGAAACTGTGAAGTAAGCGTATGAGTATTTGTAAGGTGAATCCTCTAAATTGGTGTTGTATATGTGCTAAGTATTATCAACTCAGTAGTGGCCAAACGTCTCATTTGTACATGGCTGTGAAGAATCAGAAGTGCATTTCACACAGGCTTCACTCCCCTTGCTAGGTGACAGGAAGTAGAGAGAGATCTATTCTACCTTGACTCAGGAGCAAGGTTAAACTTGAAATTCACTTTAAAATTTGTCTTCCAACTGAAAGTATGCTTTTGGAGAGATAGTACTTGCTGAGAACTTTCAAAAGGAAAAAAGATCTCAGACTCCTTTCCTATTTCTTCAGCAAAGAACCTGTGCATTAGACTTGTTCCAAAGAACGTTGGTGTCTTAAAGCAAGAGCTGAGCTACAAGGAAGGAGTAGGGAAGGAAGGCATAGCTTTGGCACACCAGTCTTTATCTCAAGTAAATATCCTCAGTGAGAGTACCAATTTACTTGAAAGATAAGATGGGTAAAACAAAATGCTACACAACTGAAAGAACACCTTTTTTCCTTTTTTCTCTGGTGACTTGATAAGCAATTAACAGATCTGATCAAAAGAACGATCAAAGTAGTTTAGTCTACCTTGCTCTACCCACAGTAGTTGATGCCACCCCAAGCTGAGGAACAATATATCTGAAAGAGTTTAATTATCTTCGTTTTTCTTTCTTGGGAAGAATAGATTTTAAAGAAGAGCGTATGGGAACTGCTGAATCACGGCCTGAACCTCTGACTGACTGCCTGAGGCAAGCACTAAGTCAGCCATGGGAGCACAGGTGAAGGCAATTCACCTGTGCTGCTGGAAAGGGTGGAGCCTGGCTGCACTCTCCTACACTCATTTAAGAGCTGACTGCCGGTAGGAAAGGATCTCTTCCTGTAGATCTCTCCTTTGGAGTTTTACAGTGAGCCCAGGATAAGGGTAAGCTCTCTATCTGTTCTCTTCTTGGAATAGTAACCTGCTTAGCCAAACTCTCTTGTTTATTTCATAATTAACATCTGTATATTCATTGATTATACAAAGAGTATTTACAATTAAAGGACTGAAATTGAAAAATGCAACCAAAAAAAAAGTTGTGAGGGCCTCTCCAGCTTCTGCAGAGTGATGATGTCACCTGCTTTGTGGTATGGTATCTTAAATGGCAACTAAAACATTTTACAGCAAACATATGAAGAATTCACTGCAAAACTGATAGCTGTCATTCATCGTGACAATGGTTATTACAGTAAGCAGTATTTTATAACAACCTCAATCAAACAAACACTTAAACGACTGAAAACTGCAAAGACACAGCAGCCCAAAATAAAATTAAAAAGACCATGTTGTATCTATAGGCTCTTTAAGCAAACTTTTTGCTGATGTACACTGACTCACAGAGAAAAGCATAGCTTTTTCTCTTAATTTCACTTTATAAATAAGACTGTATAACTGCTCACAGTAAATCTAAGTAAAAAAAGTTCTTACACCAGTGTTTGTCATTTGGAGACATTTAACTGTAGGCAAATTGTTACAAGTCACAAACTGAACTGGAGATTGAGCACCTGGTGAAGGCGTGTAGCTGGCCTAGGGAGTGCAGGCAATGTGTACCTGTGCTTCCCATGTGACCAGAAGGGTTGGACCCAGGGGCCAGCCACTGAAGGGAAGGTATCTTTTAGACCAGTCTATTTTCTGGGAAGGAATGCTGCATAGCTAGAGAGCTCATTCACCAGCTGGGTGAGTTCCATTCTTCTTTCTGTATATGACTATTGGCCTACCTGTGAATACTTTATCTGGTGTTGCTAAAAAGCTGTTGGAAGAAATGCTGTTTCTTTGAAAGTAGAACATTAACAAACAGCATAGTGGTAAGAATGTTTTCTGAGAATTCCCCCAAAATAAGCACAGCATCTGAAGGCTGTTAGGGTGATCACTTGCATACGTTCATTCAAACAAAATACTACTCTTAAGTGGAAAATGCACTGTTCAGTTCAATAGACTTTTGTATTTTACTATTTTCATGAGTTCCACTAAAATCTTATGATGAATAACTGTGTCTAGAATCATGGTAGTAAGCTAACTTGTTCTACTGTGACTAGAGAACAGAAAAGTTGTGTGTGGCTCACTAGCAAATTTTTTTCCACTGTTCACTTACGAGTATTCTGGACAGAGATCCCAAGTGCTCCATGAGGTACAAGTGGTCCCATATATAATTACAGGTGTTAAAAATCCAAATGTGACAAACCAAACTCTGTTCTACAGGTAGGACGGTGATGCTCACACCCTAGGCAGGCCTCTGTTTTTGGACAACCCTACCAAAGGACTTGTCTTCTGGCCAATCCCCCATGGCTCACGGCAAGCTTCCCCCAGTCACGGGGGTATATAAGCGCTCACTTCTAGGGTGGCTCTTGTTTGAGCAGTTTGATCTTAGCAGTGTTTGCTGTGTCTTCTAGCAGCTAGTCTGACAAGAATGTATCTGAAACAGGGGTGACATCCAAGAAATACAAATTTCAACAGATAAAGATGTAATATGAAGACTAAATGGAAAAGTTTAGTTTTCTAGGTTCTGCTTGTGTTGCCAATATTTGTTCCTGGGACCTAGGCTAAAGCTGCTAATATTTTAATCTTCTCATCAGATAAAGTGCTGGCAATACACTTATTCAAAGTTTTCGAGTTAAAAATATGTGTTGATGTGCTTGAATAGAAGATGACAGAGGAAAAGTACTAACCGAAAGAGCACAAGATGCCTGTATAAAGCCAGCAGCATGTACGTCTGTATTATACAGATTTCTTAAAATGTGACTCCTATGCTTTCCAGGTTATTTAAATTCTGCTCCATTTGAACAAGATGTATACTTTAACATAGTACAGTAGCTGCTAATAGTTTGTTTACACTGTAACTTGTTTTTAAGGAACCTGGAACGTAAATGTTATTGCATCTTCTTGTGCATACTGTGCTGTCCACTCTGAACTTCATTTCTACAATTACTGTAAGAAATAATAGGATTTCAAGCAATTTTGCCATGGGCTTCATCTTTTTTTGAAAGTATGTGTGTGGGAAGCTGTACTACTTGGAGCTGCTTCAGGAGAATAGATGGATAATGCTGGGTCCGTGCACTGCCGGTCTGGTAACTTTAGGTGCTGATAAGACTCAGTTAGTTATCAAGTACGAGCCGATTATCAGACGTGAGCCCCGACGCAGAGCAGCGGCTGGCCGCCCCGAGGTGAGGGTGGGCACTGAAGCGCTTCCTTCCGTGCGGGTGGGCCCGGCTGCAGCCCCACCTGCGAGAGGAGCGCACAGCCGGGTATGCCTTAGAACTACCGCGTGTCGGAGCTTTCTGCGATTTGTTTCTTTCTCTCCCATCTCCTTCATAAGCCGCTAGGTAACGCTCCTCTGAGGGGAACGGCGCTGCGCGGGAGCCTCCGGCCCGAGCTTTGGGGAGAGCTTTCCTCAGGCCTCCCGACAGGGCCGGGGCTAAGGGGGAATCCCAGCTGCGGGAGCGCGGGCCCTCCCGAACTCGCTCCACGGCGGGACGGAGCCCAGCCGCCGCCTCTCGGCCTGTACTCACCAGCCGCACCGGGCCGCCTCAGCGGGGAAGCCGCTCGCCCTCCTCGCCTCCCCCAGCGCCGCCGGGGCCGCCATCAGGGTCACTGGCAAAGCGGGCCGCCACGGCGCTGGGGACCCGCGGTGGCGTTTCGAGGCTGCCTCAAGAAGCGGGTACCTGATTGGTGGGATCCCGCGCGGTCGGCCGTACGCCGTTCGTTGATTGGTGAGATCAGAGTGGCGCGCGAAGCCAAGAGGACGCTCTGGCGGCGGGTCACCCTGAGGCGCGGCGGCTGAGCCCCGAGCGCCGGGCTCCCTCAGCGGGACAACAGCCCGTCTGCCCCGTGAGTGTCGGAGGGAGGGTGCTGATCTCCCACTGCGGAAGCTGCTTTTGTCGTAGGGCGACCGACCGAATGGAAGTGAGGAAGGAGCTGTGAGGCAGCGAGCGCACGGGCGCGTGGAGCCGGTAATCTGAGGAGAAATCTGAACCGTTGCTCAATCCGGAAAGGAAATCTGGTGTGAGGCAGAGACGGCTCACTCTGCCTTTGCCTGCGGAGTTTGGGTTCTGTCTTCTGAATGCATGGTGGAGCAGCTAAACTGGAAAGGTTTATGTTCTGTCTTTATTCCCTTCCTGTAATTCGGCGCTCGTATATCCAGGTTGTGATGTGCCGCTCCCATATGAGATTTCTCTACAGAAGTGATGTTCATTGGCGTGCTGAAGTGCAGATGCCGCACTCTAGTGGAATTGTGTACGTTACTGTGTAAAAGCACAAACAAAGAGCTCTGCGCTGTTTTGCCTGCAATTACGTTTTGGGTGAGAAAGTGGGATTTAAGAGTGTGCTCTCTGCACCTTTGACATAATCTGAACTGAATGTACATTTGATTTTAGGAGTTATACAGTATTGTTTGCAGCTCTTTTAAATACCTTATAAGGCTTAGTAAGAAGATGACTGTGGAACTCTGGGCTTTCCTGAGCTTCTGGTTACTCAGAACAGTCTCCTAGAACCAGAAAAGAAAAATGGAACTCCAGTACACATGAGTGACACTGTAAGCCTTTACAGTTCCTTAAAAGGGAATAGTGGCAGGTCTAGGGGATTTTCTACTGTAGTTTAGACACAGTATGGGGAAGGGGATAAGTGATTTACTGGAGTTGTAGTAACATGAGATCATGAGTTGGGCTTAGTGCTGTGTGAGCATCTTGTTCCTCTTCAAGTTGTTTCTCCACCACCACAATAAAATGTACTTAATTAGTAAAATGCTTTAAAGAAAAGGTTAGAGTAAAGAATCTTGAACAGATTCTGGATTACTTGGTTCTAGACACAGGTTCCCTGCAGGTCTCAAGCAGGCCACTAATAAATGCTGCTTTTTCTCACTGTTGTGTTCTGAATAGAACTTCCCCTGCAGTTGTGGATGCTAATAGATGGGATACTTAATCTGTGTTTTATTTGCTCCTTGGTAAACTTGATCTAACTGTTCATCTCAGAGTGATTTAAAAACCTCGTCTTTGTAGAGCATGTTGAATTTAAGTGAAAAACATTATCAAAACACAGTATTACAAGGATGCTTGGAGGAGTAGAAATACCCTTGAATTAGACAGTGTTGCTAGGAGATGCAGAAATAGAAAAGGTGATCCATTGAACAAGCTCTCATGATTTCTAGTACTTGATAGTAAAGGGAAAACTGAACAGCAAAATGCTGTTGAATACTTAAGATAAAATAACCTGATACTATTTTTTTCAAATCTGAGATATTTGGCTTAAAGACTTTTTTTCTGTAGGAGAATGCTCTGTTCATCTTACATTAAGTAATCATCCTCTCATTTTGTGTTACAGAATTGTGAATGAATGTTCTAAAGGTATCCAAGATTATTTCTGGATCTTTATGGTATTGTAGTATTCCAGGATGGAAAGTTCAGATGGGTCAGTTTTGCCTGCAAATTAGGATTATTTTCCACACTTGCTTCAAAATGAATATTAAAACTATTCTTTGGGTGCTTTGTTCCACATCCTTGTGCCTCTTGCAATTGTGGAACTGTTTCACTATGCAAAGGCCTCAATATTGTTTCGGTAGGAATTGAATTTAAAGAAATGAAATAGTTAATGCAAACCCTTGTGTGCGCTCTGCAAATCCTTGTGTCTTCAGCGCAGGGATATGATGTCTCCTCTTGGGGCCACAACATATGGACAGAGACGTCTCATGCAGTAATCTTGTGCTTCTGAATGAATTGCAGCCTCTGGCAAATCCAAGGGAGCTACTTAGCCTCCCTGTATTTGCCTTTCAGTCAGTCCTCATCAGTGTGCTGTTTTGTGTAGAGCAGATGTGAGAATTTGAGTAGGAGCACTTCGAAACAGGTACTGTATGTGGAGGGGAAAAAACTCTATGCTTTCTCTAAATTAAGCTCTTTAAAAGGTGTTGAAGTTGCATATAACTTTAAACAATGTGATGAGCAGCATTTCTGAATGGTTGTGCAAAATAAAAATTAAATCAGTGAATTTCTTGGTATTGTTTAGAAGAAGCAATTGCTGTATGACTTCCTTTTCCCTGTCCCTCCCCGCAGCACCTTTGGTGCCAGATGCTAGGATTTAACTGTATTTCTAGTACTTGTATAGCTATAAGGAATTAAAAAGAGGAAATTGATACAAAACCTGTTTGAGTCTTAAATATTTAAAAGCAGTAGTTGACCAACACCTCTTCAAAAGCTCAAGGGAAGACAGTATTTCATTTTAGCCAAATGATGTTGCTTTCCAGCTTGTGTTTAATATGTAGGGAAGCTGTACAATGTACTCAATGTACTCAATGTTTTTTAACAAAAAAGTGGGTTATTCCTCTAAAGAACAGGATTCACCCTTTTATTAATGAACATCTTTGTTTTTCTTCTGACTGAAAAGTAATTAGCTTGGAATTGTCAGTTGTCTTGAAAATGATAGGTGACTAAATTGGGAGCAGGAAGAAAGCAGAAGCTTTTTTTTTTTTTTTTTTTTTTTTGCTGAGGGAGATAGCACACTGTAGCTGGATCTGTTTTTTTCCCTTTTACAGACTTCTGTCAGAGCTTAAGCAGCTCCAGGTGATCCCAGCCAACTTGAATTTCTTAATGCCTGCAGTGGCTATCACTGTTCTCAGGTATAGTGGCGTTTCCTCCATAGTAATTTTTATAAGTCTTGCTCTGTCTTCTGTATGTGACTGTAGTGATGCATGGTGTAGAAGAAAATCTGCTTTTATTATATTTTTCCTTGTTCTCTGAGCTTTATTGTAAGACTCATGAGCAATTGTTTTGGCCCAGTTCTATTTTAGCTAGTTCTGAGCCTAAGCTAATTTTTCTTTCTGTTCAGTTAAAGTTCAAGCAGTCCATGTTTGTCTTGTTGGGGATTAAGCTGCTTCACAAGTACTCTTCAGATCTGTAATGAGTAAAACTGTGAAGCGTTCAGGCAGACCAGCTGTCCTGTCTGCATCTCCAGTAGTGACACTTATCTATTGCACTTAGATTCACAGAAACAGTTGCAGTAATGTCAGTGTATGTGAGAAAGTCAGAGCAGAACATTAGGATGGTTTCTAAACAGGGAGGAGTAGTTGATAGTTACAAGAAGGCTCACAAGTCAAGAGCCATCAATTCTGTTCCCAGTGCTGTTGAACAGTGTGGCATCAGTTTGTGGTATGATTTCTAGTGAACTTATCTGTAGAAGATGGATATTTATATTTGTTGCATCTACAGCTAACAGCTGCCAACTGCAATGAAACTAAGTCTTTTGTATGTAGCAAACTAGTTAGTTGTCCACTCCATTCACTTATCTGCTCTCAAGAAAAAGTCGCAGAAAAAACACTTGGACAGATCAAATTCTTTTGTGATCAGATTCTCTTGTTAGCACTGCCTCTCAGTGTTGCAGATACAGGTGTGTGTGTGGGGGAGTGGAGGGGGGGGAGGGGGGGAAGGGGGGAGTAGACCAGAAACCTAGTTCCTAAGGTTTTTAAGGAACTGTGGTAATACTAGTTAAATGCGGTAGATCCACCAATGGACCAAGCTTGTTTGGTAATCATTTTAATACTTCTATCTGTAAGTAGTATCTGCAAATCTATTTTGTGTACAGATTTCAGACTATAGCCTAGATGCTAGGCTCTTTCAATGTATTTGGTCTTTCTAGAGTAGGTCATTTGTTTTATCATGTGAGGCACACTTGTTTAAGCAACTTCAGCTCTGGGACACCTTATCATCTAGTAAATGGAGTAGTTGAGGATTTTGTGGTCATTTTCCCAGGCTTGATTTTTCATAACTGAGGCCACCATGGATTGGTGTGAGGTGGTGTTGCTCTTGCAACAGATCCCCCTCCCAGCATTCTCTCCTTGCTGTACTTACATTCCTAGCATTCCTCTATTAGCTGCACCCTGTTCCTCTGAGATGTATAGGAAATCAATTCTCCCACAGTTGCCAGAACAGTATTTTGGTATTATGTTTTCAGCTTGCTGGAAAACTGATCAGGGCCTTCTTGAGTTGTGTAAGGCTATTCTGCATTCTAGTTAGCAAATTACTTGGATTGTTTTCAATAGGAGAAAGCCTTCTGTCTGGGTTCATACATCAGGTTGTTTTTATACAACTACAGTCATACAAAGCATGCTATGTGAACTGCAGTGATATAATGCAGAATTGTGATATGAAGCTTTAGCCATCTGAAGGTGAGCTGAGCTAGCCAGAGTATTGCTTTCAAAAACTAACAAAACACTGCAGTTTTTTGAAGTCAGGAAATGTGTTGGAGGAAGAAAGGTACATATTAGCAATGTGTTTAATTTTCTGTGCCCGAAGCAGTTTTTAACCAAAAAAAAAAATACTGAAGACAGTTACTAACATTCATAGTTATTGGCCATTGTTTACTATACTGTAGCTCTTGATAGCAGCTCTCTATGAGGAGAATGAGGCTGGGAACAAATTTCAAGACTGCAGAAAGGACATTGATGCTCTTTGGAGAGCTCTAACAGTGGAGTCCTCTTTGTGGTTTAGAAGACAGCCTGAAATACAAAATGCAAGTTTAAGCTATGTTATCTTAAATAAAGTTTGTTTTCAAAAGCTTGTTGAAAAGGTGATAAGTCAGTGAATCATAAGTACGAGGAAGCTAGGTATTCATCAAGGCTGAAGATTTCTT